CACCCAATGAATGTAAAAAAAAAATATTGCAACAGATGAAAAGTAAAATTACAGAATACAGAAACTCACTTTTTAACTACTTTATAAAGTAATAAAGTGTGTGTATGTGTGTGTGTGTATGTGTGTATGTGTGTATGTGTGTATGTGAGTATGTGTGTGTGTGTGTGTGTGTGCTTGTCTGTACCTATGCATGTAGGACGGTGAGAGCCAAGGCCTTCGGGTAATGCTATTCCAGTAGTTTAAGCAGGTTTTCGGATTGCATGTAAGGAGGGTTTTTTAGAATGACAGGCACCAGGTGGCAGTACTGAGACGAAAGGTCTAATCATCCGTCATATCGCATATGATCTCATAGTCTATGAATCTGGTCTATGGAGTTGGCGTTAAAAACTTCATACAAAAGACCTCACGTAACAGTGGCGCCAACTGGTGACGTAAATTTTCATAAACACCCTCAGGCATTGTCCTAATACAACGCGATAACGCGGATGAGCGATGCGATCATCGTACGAGTCCACGATCAAACATATTGATCTAGAATAGGTATCCTAATAGGCGATCGCGCGATGCATTCGCGCGACTAAAATGTTTAAAAATCTATTCGCGCGATCTTAGTTCGTGCGAACGCGCAATCAAACCTATTAACGATGAATAGGTGTCCTAACTGAAGTTCGCGCGATGATCGCGTCGCGTCGATAGGAAGCGGGGAGAGGGGGCAGGACTAACCCGTTCCGTATTCGCGTTCTATTAGGACACCCAGTTCGCGATCACGCGATGGTCGCGTCGTTTAAACGCGCGATGATCGCGTTATCGCTCATGTTAATGCCTCAGTCATGGACAATAACCTTGAAGTTAAAAGAGAGGTAGGGCACAGCGGATTTTCCGCTCGAATTGAAGCACCCGTCTGGTGAAGCAACTGCCACCTTACAGATGAGCATAGTAAATAATATTTCCTTTTGGTGGTGTTGTGTTCCTGCTAGTAAGTGCAGTTCCAAGGCTCCATGAGAATTGAAAAAATGTAAAAAATTAAAATGAGAAATATTTATTCTGTAACCAAATTAAATTAACATAAAAGTTATTGAAGCACTCTTTTAGGTAAACATATACCTGTATTAGAATGCCTCGCTCTCTCGTACATCACAACTGGTTTACAAACAATATACATACATATCTCAAACTAATTAATAAAAGAATACTAAATAATAAATAACAAAAATCATGTAAAACCCCACTATTAAACCTAATCTCATACATCAACTTGCATAAGTTTTTCCACCTCGTCATATATAAGATTCAAAAGCCATTCAGTTACTTGTTTCTTTAGCTCACATGATGTTAATGAACAAATGTTTATCAGTCTATTTACCTAATAATTGTCGCTAGAGCCCTCTTAAATAATAAAAGAGGGATAAATTACATACAGAGAGGTTTTATTCGTTTCGGAATTCTCGGTCCATACATTTATAACGAACTAATTAACTTAATGAATCTCAAGCACAGCTCCGTTCGGGAGATGCGAAATAACATCTCAAAAATCTCTTATCTATTAGACAAGTCCGTCCGTCCGTCTGTGGTGCTGTTTCAGCGGCCAAACCGTAAGAGATAGATAAAGAGAATATTTAAGTTATAAGTTAAGAATAGTCTGATAAGACTACAAACCGGATTTGAGTAACGTAGCACTTCCGGTTTTCGAGAAATCACGAATTTCAAACGAAACCACACAAAATCTCTGAAGTTCTCAATTAATTAAATACATGTTTTTTTTTTAAATCAGGTTTTGGTGAACATTTGGTTCACTGGTTTGCTAGTGTTTTTAAAATGGACGTATGACAGAGCAAAGAATCTTTTAAGAATAATAAGTTGAATATACACATACACACACAACACACAGTTACACACACACACACAAAACACACACATACATACGCGCGTATCACCAATGTATCCATTCTTTTTAGTTTTTATTTGTTTGTATTTTTAGGCCGTAAATGATATATTGTAAATTGTTTACTTCCCCCATAGGACGGGCTTCGCCTAGTATGGGTGACTGTTATAATATTTTGTAAAACTGTTTATGAATAAATGGATTATTATTATTCCCTCATTTATTTAATTTCACAAGTTAGGTTTTTTATAAAATAGATATAAAAGTAAAATACAAAAACGTAAATACAAAAATAAATATAGTATAAAAAACCTTACCTAGAAGGCCACCAGCAGCGGAGCGAGGCCCAAGCTATCGGTGGTTAGGGCCGCAGAGAAAGAAACCGCCTGACGATGCGCGCCGTGTCCAGGAGTACTGCCTTTTGCATCTGCCCCTTGACCCAACCATCTAGCGAGAGGCTCTTTAGATGTTGATCGAGACTCTTCGCTATGATACCGTTTACGCTAACGACTATAGGGACAATGATCGTCGAATCCACATCCCACAAAGCGGTTACCTCGTGGGCCAAGTACAGGTACTTGCTGAGCTTGTACTTCTCGGCCTTCACGAGGTTATTATTATTATTATTTGCATAACTGTGAATTTTCCATTAATACAGCTATCATTTTCTTAAACCTGGCAAAGGACATAGCTAAGAAACTGCCCTAAACGTGTATAGTTGTTTCGCACTAGCCCGTAACATAATAATATTTTTTTTATTAACTATTGCGTGTTTATTAGTGAAAAATGATCTGTTTTACAAAAATCAATGAACAATAAATGGAATGGAGGATGAAAGTATTATTGTAAGTATATCGAAATTAACAATATTCAGTCCTAAAAACTATGACATATTTGGCCCTATTTTTACTATAACAAATCACTGAAGGCCTAAAATAAGAGATTTTATTTTTCTGATAAGGCTGTAGACAAGGCTGTAATGTAATAAACAAAATAAAACTTCACAGATTTCCTGCCAGGCCGATGACAACAAATTATTTGTATTCATTTTTGCTTTAAAAAACTTTCTGTGAAGTGGCAATCAGAGAAATAGCAGGACAGATTCTAAGAAAATGCGAAATTGATGGCTCTGTAAATAATTGGCAACATCTTTTATCAAATATAGCAAGGTGACTTTATCAAAAGTTTCTGCGCCTTTTTTCGTAGAAGTTATAAATATTCAGCATTAAATATTACTAAGAAAAATATTTCTATACATTGCTAAGGCATTCGCTCATACAAAATTTCATCGTGGTCTTTTATCTTCATTACGTAACCTATCTCACGCCATCTCGTCAGTAGCTGCAGGAAATTAAAGCAGTTTCATCTCGCACTTGATGTCACTGAAATATTATGTTAGTGTTGTGTTATGATATTATGTTGGCTGCGTTACATGAATGTTGTAGTGAATCATGAATGTTCCATTTATAATATAGGCTACAGTTATATAAAGTGTTTTTTAAACACTTTAGTGTATTGGAACGTATAAGTACACAACTACACACAATACGCTACAAAAGAGTTGGCGGTCGTGGCGGAAATTCATGGATAAATTATTTTTGATTAGATTTTTCTTTATAGGATAACACATAGAATACATAATAATATACTGATACATATATAAGTATATTTATTATGTTTTTTTATTTTTTTTAAGCATTTAACTGCTAGATGTTTAAATCTAAACAAAAGTTTTACTAGAAAAAAATCCAAAGGTCATCGAAATTTTCCTAGCCTTAAACTGCAAGGCAGCGCCATCTCTTCGCATTGTAGGTAACCTACAATTTCGACGCGGCCATCAGGGCCGTGGTAGCAATGCATTCGCCCGGATTGCGAAGGGTGCGGGTTCAAGTCCCGTCCGCTGCCTGGTCCGCGTGGGTTTTTTTCTAGTAAAACTTTGCTTTAGAAGTATATTTATGTATAAATACATATTAAACATCCATGACTGGAGTACAAATGCTCGTATTCATCACACAAACATCTACTCCCATCGGGATTCGAAGTCGGGACCTCTCGAGTAGGCGACACTCGTACAAAACCCGACCACGGAAGTCGTCAAAACTTATTTGATAAAACATTTGACAAAACAAAATTTGGTAAACAGTGTTTTGTTTTATTTGAAATAATGGAAATTAATTTCATCTTTAAACCAATCACTTTGAAAGAAAACAGTCATAAGGAATGTGTGTAGATAAATGATAAGACAACGTTCGGTTGACCACAGGGAGACCAATCGTTTAACTAAGTGTCGTCGCACACGGGCCACACGCCACAGCCACAAACGCCGCCACGAGAAGTTAGAAGCGGCTACTAAAGTGGCTGAAGCGCGCGATAGCGGCCGACTAAGGCAAGGGAGAGAGGAGTGGGGAATCGCGCGATGACGTGTGGCGGCGTTTTGTATCGGCGCATTATGTGGCCTGTGCGGGCCACAAGTAGCGAGCTACGACGATTTGTAGCGTGTGGCGGCCACCGGCGTACCGTGTGTGGCGAGTCCATATAAAATGTATGAAAACCACAAGAAATGGCGGCGTTTTGTGGTTGTGGTCGGTGGACCGTGTGCAGCGACACTAAGGGAATGTGATTTTACAAGTGTTTCTATAAAAATAAATTATGGATTTATAATAAAATTAGAATTATTAAACTAAACAAACTAACTGAAGTCACCTAAAGAAAATAAAACTAGAAAATAATCCACGTGGAGCAGGCAGCAGACGGGACTCAAACCCGCACCCTTCGCTATCCGGGCGAATGCACTGACCAATTATGCTACCGCGGCCCTGGCGGCCGCGTCGAAATTCTTCTAGCCATTCTCAGGCTGCAAGGCAGCACCATTTCTTGGCATTGTAGGTAACCCACAATGTCAAATGAATACTTTTACAAGTACTTCTTTAAATTTAAACATGAAGCAGTTACATGCTTAAAAAATAAAAATTATAAAGTTACCTAGTTAAGTTTTTATTTAGAGGATGCAACTCGCAAATCAATGAAATTATTACCTTGGACCATGGATATAGCATTTCCCTAACATGTCTTGGACCTTGTATATTAGTAAATGTCATTTTTGACATTACATCTCAACTGAACGTCAATTAATCGCAATATTTATCGAAACGCTGCACATTTGTAAATATTTTTATTTAATGTGGTTATATTTCAATTCTTCGGTTATATATCGGATTCGGAATGAGTGATTTTCTTCCTCTTATACCTCGTAAAGGGTAAGTCAATAAAATATTATATCTTCAGGGACAATAATTTATATGTTGTCCTCTCCTCAGATGAACCCCCCACCACCCTCAGGTTCGAGTGTTCTAGAGGCTCCAGATGGAGAGGTCTCCCCCCGTGGAGAGATTCCATCCGCCTGGAATACCTCTAGAGGCACTCGCCAATTCTCGGCTTGAGGTCATCGCCTTAGGATCTCGCCGTCCCCAAACCCGGTGACGCTGTAAAGGTCATCTGCGACCAACAGCATATAAAACATATATACATCCTGTGTTAAAGGTTAGAAGTGTATAACTTAACTTCGACTGTTACCGTGACTAGTACTCCGAACCATAAAAATGATAACATCATCATCATCATCATCATCATTATCATCATCATCATCATCATCATCATCATCATCATCATCATAATCATCATCATCATCAACAGCCTATCTTATTCCACTGTTGAACATAAGCCTCTCCAATTGCACGCCATTGAGATGATAACATCATCATCATTCTCTGGTCTGTCAGAGATCTGTATATTTCTTTTTTTTTAACACTCACCAATTAGCCTATCTCCAAAGTAAAGTAAGAACTGTAAGGCCTTTTTTATATACGCAGGCTAAAAATACTATTTACAGACGACGGCGCCGAACGGACCTCACACCTGGCTCCCGCAAGCCTTACGAGCCCCAACAGTGGCTGCCCACTGAGGACCCCGTAACCCTTATGGGCGCTTTACGGCATAACATCCGCTAAGAAACCCTGCGAACACCCTCTAAGCTGCTTAGCGCGAAGCCGCGGGATCCCCGTTTAGGGATTCTTCCGCGTCTCCGCACCTAGCAGCCTCCCGGCCTAGCCGGGGCACCACGGCAGGGGTCTCCCGGGGTATCGCGGGGACCCCGCAGACGTGCGCAGGATGGGGGGCGCGTGGGGGCTGAGTACGCGGCCTAGTGCCCACCGTCCCGCCCCCCGTCCGCTGCGGAGGGCTACTTCGGCGTGCCCGTATAGCTCCCTCAGCCACCCCCCTCTTTGCAGGACAAGGGGGGGCTGACGTCACGGCAGAACTGTAAGGCCTGTGATATGGGATACTAGGGTAACGGATAGAATACATATATTGTGCGTATATAAGTATATTTATATAGAAATACCTATATATGAAACATCCATGACTGGAGTACAAATGCTCGTATTAATCAGACAAACATCTGCCCCTACCGGGATTCGAACCCGGTACCTCTCGAGTCGGCGACACCATGAACCCGGCGTACAAACCACTCAGCCACGGAGGTCATCGTATTGTAATCCGTAATAACAGTAGGTTGTAATTTTTACAGAATTTTGTCACTACTTGTAGAACATGTTGTCATTGTAACAAAGGAAAAAAGATTAAGGGTTTTTTTATTGCTTTAAACCTAAACCAGCGAATCACTCCATCCTACTTAAAACTCGTAGGTTAGTTATTTAAATAACAGTGTTTAGAAACAGCCATATTAATACTCCGCCTGATGGTAATGGCCATTCCATGTTTCAGACTCCAAAAATCAAGAGGTTCATTTCTGGGTTGTAGTATTGCATTGTTTAACAAAGTTCCCCAACATCTGATTGAGCTTCCATTGACTAAATTTAAATCTCAGATCAAAAATACTCTTATGAATAAGGGCTATTATAAAGTTGATGATTATCTGAATGATCGTAATGCATGGACATAGTGTTTCTTATAATTTGATATTAAATGGGTATTAGTCATTTTTCATAACAGTAATATTGTACCTATCTAATGCCGCTTCCTATATACTAAATATAATGTTAACTATAAAATTAATTGTAACTATATATTTATATTCTAAATGATGTAATGGAAAGTGACTGAAGTCATTTTTCAACTTGACGACACTGTATATAACAATACAGGGAGAAAAAAACAGCCCTTGCTGAGTTTCTTGCCGGTTCTTCTCAGTACAAGGTCTCCCGCCGTAGTTTTGCGAACCGATGGCGTAGCTTCTTGACCTTCACAAGTGCTTGTAACAGCCTAGACTGAATAAATGACATTTCATTTCATTTCATAGGTAGCAGATATGAAAGGAATTATTCACATCTTGTACAGAATAAATAAGTACTGAATGAATCTTTTCATTACTTTTCTTTTATGATATTCTCATACGGATTTGGGGAACATGTGTTTAATACTTTCGGAGATAAAGAATAGCCTTATTACCACAAAACAGTTAGACATGCATTCAATACGAGTTTAAGAAAAAAAACATACTTAATATAAGATCGTAGAAGTTTTCAATGACAAAAAATGCATTTATTATAAGGCGAGCAAAAAAGGGCGAAAGGTCACTAGGCCCGACCGGTCTCTTAAATATGTATTGGTATTTTACGACCATCAGTGTAACGAATTGAAAGCATCCATTCGTAAACATACCTTCAGTCGTCTAAGGACAACCTGCAGATTGTGTCCGGCGACAGATTCCAGTCACGCACACCCTTCATTGAATGAAATTTGACAACACGTCCCCAATAGGGTATTGATTGCTGGGGTCCTGTCGCCGGTCCACAGAAACTGTAATCAAGGACAAATAAAACGGACATCTTCTAAGAATGAGAAGCTGCTTAATATCTAACCAATGTCATGTTCTAATCTATCCACGGAGATGAGCTTGTACCGACGTAAAATAAGATTTTCTTTTATTATAGGGATAGTATTGTTGTTGATGCACCAGCCAAGTTGGCAACAACAACGATATATCACTTTCTCATGTGACGTAGTTTTTGGAGGAGCTCGATGGCGCAAGTGGTTAGCGCGTTCAGCTGCGATCGTTGAAGTTAAGCAACTTTCGCAATGGACGGTCATTGGATGGGTGACCAAAAATTTACTATCTCGAACTCCTCCGTGCTTCGGAAGGCACGTTAAGCCATTGGTCCCTGCTGCATCTGCAGTCGTTGGCACCCACCAATCCGCACTGGGCCCGCGTGGTGGGTCATGGCCCAATCTCCATTATCCATCCATAGGGAAGGCCTGTGTCCCAGCAGTGGGGACATTAATAGGCTGATGATGATGATGATGATGTTGTAGTTTTCCATCCTTGTCTGAAATTGTGTACTTATACGTCATAGCACATATATCAACTCTGAAAGGGTAACTTAAGCAATTAAGCAGTCGCGCTTACAGCTCGCCGACCGCTTGTTGGCTATGCTGCACAAGTGGGATCAATCATAGAGAAAGTAACGTAAACTAGGCTAAAAGAGATGTAAGCTAAGCTTTTTTTTAAAGATAAGTCCGAAAAATTACTCCAATCCTCTTGGTGTTAAGTGACGGTGAAGTTCAGACGCAAAGATAGCTGGTACATCAGTTCTACCTGCCATCCAGCCATACTCACCTTGCCAGCCTGCACGTTTTTTCTTCAGGCCTCTTTTAAAGGATCCCGGATTTTAAGGATTAGAGGTTGTAGGAGGGAGAGGAACACGTGAGCGAGCAGAGCATTCAGAAAGAAGAGCAGAAACGAGTCACTAAATTTCTTTGTTCGCGTTGGAATAATGGCCACAGTTAGTCAGTGGCAACGAAGGCCAGCGCGCGTGGTCCTCTGAAGGAAAGGGGGAGGTGGAATAAGGGAGAATAACTCCTCAGAACACTCGCCGTGCTATAGACGATAGAACGCGCTTCGCTGGCGTCTCTCCACAGCGCGCAGCTATGAAGAGACGTAAGCTAGGCTACGGAGAGACGTAAGCTAAGCTACGGATAGACAATTACACGAATGCTAAGCTACGGAGAGACGTAAGCCAGGCTACGGAGACTAGACCAGCCACGTTCAGAAGCTTATCCCGAGGCAAGGCAGTTACGCTAGTGTGCGCTGCATCGGGAAGTTTCATACAAAGATATGTTTTGTCAAATTTACTATCTCCAGCTCCTCCGTGCTTCAGAAGACACGTTAAGCCGTTGGTCCCGGCTGCATCTGCAGTCGTTAGCACCCACCAATCCGCGCTGGGCACGTGTGGTAGGTCATGGTCCAAACACCCTATTCCATCCATAGGGAAGGCCTGTGCCCCACCAGTGGGGGCATTAATTGGCTGATGATGATGATGACAATACAAAGAAATATGAAGGGTTCGATTTGATACGGTGACGATCCCTTTCCGAGTTCATATATCTGCTACCACTTCAAGGCTATATAAATTATTTAAACTGCTTAAAATTAGACAGCCCTTGTGTATACTTGCTAACCTTTCATAAAGAACAATTTGTTGCAGATCAGTATGTACGGATGTGAGGCCAATTTTAAGAGAGGTGTTTCGAGACCGCGACTACTTACCACCACTACCTTCGGACAAGGAAATAGAGCAGCATGCAGATCCATCTCAAGGTCATTGGGTAAGATTTTGATTACAATGTTTTTCATTCCTGTGTTCATTATTCTTCTTTATCCTTGAGAGGTAGGGCAAAGTTCATTATTCCTCTTTGTCCTTGAGAGGTAGGGCAAAGTTCATTATTCCTCTTTGTCCTTGAGAGGTAGGGCAAAGTTCATTATTCCTCTTTGTTCTTGAGAGGTAGGGCAAAGTTCATTATTCCTCTTTGTCCTTGAGAGGTAGGGCAAAGTTCATTATTCCTCTTTGTCCTTGAGAGGTAGGGCAAATTTCATTATTCCTCTTTGTCCTTGAGAGGTAGGGCAAAGTTCATTATTCCTCTTTGTCCTTGAGAGGTAGGGCAAAGTTCATTATTCCTCTTTGTCCTTGAGAGGTAGGGCAAAGTTCATTATTCCTCTTTGTCCTTGAGAGGTAGGGCAAAGTTCATTATTCCTCTTTGTCCTTGAGAGGTAGGGCAAATTTCATTATTCCTCTTTGTCCTTGAGAGGTAGGGCAAAGTTCATTATTCCTCTTTGTCCTTGAGAGGTAGGGCAAAGTTCATTATTCCTCTTTATCCTTGAGAGGTAGGGCAAGGCGGGCCTCCATCTTTCAGAAGATCACAGTAAAGTAGCACTAACTTTTGGTGGTGATGTGTTTCGGACAGTTGGTAAGTTTCCAGTCTTCACGAGGTCGGAATTGGGTCAGTTTAGGCAACGGTGTGGAGTGATGTTGTTGCTTTGCTTTGATTGCTATGGTGGCTGCTTACCATCAGGAGGGCCATACACTGGTTTGCCACCCTTTTATAATAAAAAAATATCTTCATCATCATTATTTTATAAACACCTACTGCTAGACCTTGCCTGTGCATGAAGTAAAGCAAAATGAGCCATGACTCACCCGGGCCCAGTGCATATTAGTAAAGATTGCCGAAATAATAGTGAAAATCGGCTAAAATATAATAATACATTTTTGGTCAGCCATCTAATGTGAAAGTTGCTTAACTTCGATCGCAGACTGAATGCGCGAAGCACTTAACTATCAAGCTCCTCCCTGTCTGTAACTGTAACTATTATTGTCCCCACTGATGGGATTTTATCTCCTGTATAATAGGTTCCCAAGCTGGTGGTATATACCAACCATCTTCCCTATTGCAATTTGGATATTTTTAATCTCAATAGCCTCGCGTATCATTCGAGTAACGAACCGCCGCTCAGCTGCAAGGATCTGTGGTCTATCAAATCTAATGTAGTGGTTTGGTCCCCCTAATGCATGTTCACGTGAACATGCATTAGGGGGATTTGATAGACCACAGATCCTTGCAGCTGAGCGGCGGTTCGTTTCTCGAATGATGCGCGAGGCTATTGAGATTAAAAAATATCCAAATTTCAATAGGGAAGATGGTTGGTATATACCACCAGCTTGGGAACCTATTGTACAGGAGATAAAATCCTAACCCCGAGCACACACTGCAAGACCATCAGATACTATTAGTTCTTTTTGTTTGCATAATTTAACATAAGAAGGAGATAGAAAGCCCCTCTTGAGTTTGTTTCGCCGGTTCTTCTCAGGAAGGTCGCCCAATTTTGGAACCGGTGGTAGTTTACGGTAGTTAGGGTCAAATAAATAAATATCCTATTTTAATAGCAGTATAAAATTCGTTGGGTCAGCTCCTAACTTATTTTCTTATACGTCGAACGAGATATTATCTCACTCGTCAAGCCAAAAACATTAGTTAACTGAACCGAAATTATATCATATCACATCACCAACCTATTAACCTCCCCACTGCTGGGGCACAGGCCTTCGTTACGGATGGAATGGGGTGATTGGACCATGACCCACCACGCGGGCTCAGTGCGAATTGGTAGGTGCTAACGACTGCAGATGCAGCCAGGACCAGTGGCTTCACGTGCCTTCCGAAGCACGGGAGAGCTCGAAATAGTAAATTTTTGGTCACCCATCCAATGACCGACTACTGCGAAAGTTGCTTAACTTCCACGAGTGCAGCCGAACGCGCTAACCACTTTCGCCATCGAGCTCCTCATATACATCCAAATAGGGATGATGACTAATTTTTTTTTCTTCGTTTATCAGGTAGATTATCAAAAAGTATTGGACACGTATTTTTTCTTTTTTCACATAATATAAACAATGCAGAGATATATTGATTTGAAAAGTCGAATGACGTCACGTTTGAGTTCACTTATAAGGGAAAATTCACTCGGAAGTGACGTCACGAGCCCCTACTCCCAAACTTTGACGCGCTGTAACTTTGTCATTTTTTGGTTGGTTGCCCAAAGAAAAAATACGTATCCATTATTTTTTGATCATCTAACTGACGGATTAAATAGAATTTCGTTTACTGTACCCCGTCATCACCCCTATTATATACCAGAACCGTTTATAACTTCTCCGGGTACCAGCGCAGTTGGGGTTATTACTCGGTAAACATAATCTTCTCCTCTCTTGGCAACTGTCGCAAATATCATTATGCCTTGTACTATTATTGCGTATGTTTGCGAAATGGAATGTGACAATTTCAGTTCGTCGCTAGGTACCAAGTAACTTTCTTAATAACATTACAGACAGTACTGACAGTTTTCTCTAACTACGTTTAACAGTTTTGGGTTCGTTTTGAGATGTCCTAACCTGTTTCTATAGATCTCTTGAAATTGGCAAAAGATTCCTGGAATGATGTTTTGTTTCTTAACAAAGACTTAACTTGGACTGTTAAAGGCCTCCCTTCATAGGGACATTATTATAGGCCGATAAATTTGATTATCTCCGTGGCCTAGTGGTTTGTACCAGGTTTCATGGTGTCGCCGACTCGAGAAGTCCCGGGTTCGAAGTGTCCCGGTGAGGGCAGATGTTTGTGCGATGTATACGAGCATTTGTACTCCAGTCATGGTTGTTTAATATGGATTTCTATGTAAATATACTTATATATGTACAGTATATGTATTCTATCCGTTACCCTAGTATCCCATAACACAAGCATTACAGTGCTTTCTTTGGGGCTAGGCTAATTGGTGTGAGTTTTGGAAATATTTATGTATGTTATCGGATGCTTTATTGCGATGACGGCTACGAAACCACACACTGATTCGATAATAAGATAGATAGATAGATAAAACTTTATTAACCCCGACATGCACACATACAAAATTGAAAACAAATTTTACAATTATATAAATCCTTTAAAAAATTCATAAAATTATATTTATACAACTATATTTATATTTTCGTGTGCAGCAGCGATGCGAATGGGCGAAAACTCAGCGTTACATTTACTCCGAGAGTAAATCGCTGATTTTCAGTTCTGACCCATACAGATGAGGTCACGCAATTAAATGTCAGATTAAAATTCACAATAACGGCGCAATAGAAATATTATGACGAAATACGCAATAAGTCATAGGTTTAAAGTTCATGTTCTGTATTTTATTGCCATTATTTTTAGACTGGGAACTGGTGACAGATGACGTTCCACGATTTGTATGATGATAATACTTAATGTTTAAAATAATGATGCTGCTAATAATATTGTACTTTCATTTGTCATAAAAAAAATCAAATTATTAAATCGGACCTTCTTTTTTTGTTTAATAAAACAATTTTCATGAAGCTAAATGCATGCCATTTTGCATTTCAGCTTGCAATAGTATCTACTAATAAAATACAAAAGGGCATGTAGGAAGAAGTCACGGAGTTTTTCAGTTTTTTTTTTCAATTGAGAAATTGATGTTTATTCAAATTTTTCACAATTTTTGTATGTTGGGCTGTAGCTACATGCATGCCATTTACATTCATGACTTAAACTAATGTAAATTCACGAAATACAGAATGGCATGCAAAAAACAAGTCACCTCAATTTGCACAGTGTTTTTTGCAACTTTCATCCATGCATGCCTCTATTTTGCAACATCGTGGTGTGCATGCCAATTTTCCTACTATTCAAAAAAAATCAAAATTCAATATCTTTTATTCAGTCTAGGCTATTACAAGCACTTGTGAATGTCGAAAAGCTACGCCATCGGTTCGCAAATCTACGGCGGGAGACCTTGTACTGAGAAGAACCGGCCAGAAACTCAGCAAGGGCTGTTTATTTTTGTCCCTGTATATAATTAATGATACAGATTAAATATTCTTTCAATAGCAAGCAGTTTGGAATCACGGAAAATCTGTGTTAAAATTTTACAGAATAATCCGGTAATTTACCACCGTTGGTCATACGAGGGCTGCATACCAATTTTTCCAGACTGTCTTTATTACAAAAACTTCCATTCTTTATATCGGCATGCAATTTCAAAACACGGAATTGCCCTTTAACACACACACACGCATACACACTCACACACACGCACACACACACGCACACGCGCACACGCACACACACACATACACACACACACACACACACACTCACACTCGCACACACACACACTCACACTCGCACACACACACACACGCACACACACACATACACACACACATACACGCACACGCACACACACACACATACACACACACACACGCACACACACACACACACACAATTACTTTTTTATTTTATTTTTATTATTGTGTTGCACTTCTCATATTAATTAATACATTAATCACATAAATAGTACAAAGGTGGCTTGCTCTGTTCATGTAGTTTTGGGAGTGGAGGCCTGGTGTCTTGTAGAACAGGTTTATCCTATTGCAAACACCAGTCTTCACATAAAGTAATGTAATATTGTAATTAAGCACTTTATTGTAAATGTTTCTTTTTTCTATTTATGTGAAGAAATAAATAAAGAATTTATTAAAAAAAATGTTCAGGTTTACAGGATCCTATGCTCATCCTGGGCCGCTGCGGAGTGTATTCCATCAATTATTACAGCTTAAGTTTGTTTAAACTTCCGTATATTACAATGGCATGCAGTATACTATCACGGAGGAGCTCGATGGCGCAAGTGGTTAGCGCGTTCCGCAGCGATCGTTGAATTTAAGCAACTTTCGCAGTGGTCGGTCATTGGATGGGTGACCATAATTTACTATCTCGAGCTCCTCCGTGCTTCGGAAGGCACATTAAGCCGTTGGTCCTGGCTGCATCTGCAGTCGTTAGCACCCACCAACCCGCACTGGGCCCGCGTGGTGGGTCATGGCCCAATCTCCCTATTCCATCCATAGGGAAGCCTGTGCCCCAGCAGTGGGGACATTAATAGGCTGATGATGATGATGATGATGATACTATCACGGAAAAACACGAAAATCCATAACACAAAGAAAAGCGCTTTTCCTTATGAAGAGGACGCGCGGGGGGGGGGGGGGGCTAAAACCCAGACTATCATTGATATTTTAGGGTTACTTATCAAGCCTTAAAAAAGCATCATCATCAGCCTATTATTGCTGGGGCACAGGCCTTTCCATGACCCACCACGCGGGCCCAGTGCGGATTGGCGGGTGCTAACGACTGCAGATGCAGCCGGGACCAACGGCTTAACGTGTCTTCCTAAGCACGGAGGAACTCGAGATAGAAGATTTTTGGTCACCCATCCAATGACCGACCACTGCGAAAGTTGCTTAACTACAACGATCACAGCCGAACGCGCTAACTACCTGCGCCATCGAGCTCCTCAAAAAAGCATGCACGACAAAATCGTCGTCGTCACCTGTCCCGGTCTATTTGCCATCACATTCGCTAGGTTTTACCGTTTCGTCCTCGAACTCGAAAAGAGAAAAATTTCTTTGACATTCCCATAAAGTTAAATTCGTTGTATGCGCAAGTCTCTCCTTTTCATTGGCCCTTTGTTAACCTTTTTAAAAAAGGTTTGTACATTTTGTACGAATTGTTCACCCCCTTTTGTTCCTTTACGTTGAGATTTCTATTACGTTCATATCTATTGTGTGCGATTTAAAAGCGAAAAGATTTCCTTAATGTCTTTTTTTGGGTTCCGTAGCGAAATGTCAAAAAATGGAACCCGCACCCTTCGCGATCCGGGCAAGCTACAATGCGAAGAGATGGCGCTGCCTTACAGCTTTAGGCTAGAAAACTTTCAACGCGGCCAACAGGGCCGTGGTAGCATAATAGTCGGTGCATTCGCCCGGATTGCGAAGGGTGCGGGTTCGAGTCCCGTCCGCTGATTTTTTTCTAGTAAACTTTTCTTTAGATCAAAAATTCTTTTTCATCAATCCCATACATGTGGGGTATGGATGGGTCTTGAAAAATGATATTGAGGTTTCTAATATAATTTTTTTTCGAAACTGAATAGTTTGCGCCAGAGACACTTCCAAAGTGCTAAAATGTGCCCCCACCCCTCCCCCCTCCTGTAACTTCTAAAATAAGAGACTGATAAAACAAAACAAAATATATGATGTACATTACCATGCGAACTTCCACCGAAAATTGGTTTGAACGAGATCGAGTAAGTAGTTTTTTTAATACGTTTTATACAAATACAAATATATTTATTAAAATTTACATCATACAGTCAGCTTATAACCATGGGTCCCACACTAGGAGGAGGAGGTCCTGTATCGTAGGCACCCATGAATGTAAAAAAAAATATTGCAACAGATGAAAAGTAAAATTACAGAATACAGAAACTAACTTTTTAACTACGTTATAAAGTAATAAAGTGTGTGTATATGTGTGTGTGTATATGTGTGTGTGTATATGTGTGTGTGTGTGTATATGTGTGTGTGTGTGTATATGTGTGTATTTGTGTGTGTGTGTGTGTGTGTGTGTGCTTGTCTGTACCTATGCATGAAGGACGGTGAGAGCCAAGGACTTCGGGTAATGCTATTCCAGTCGTTTAAGCAGGTTTTCGGATTGCATGTAAGTCATGGACAATAACCTTGAGGTGATTTATATTATGTTACTTGCTGCTACGGAACCCATCATGGGCGATCCCGACTCGCACTAGGCAGCTTTTTTTTTCTCTTTATTTTGACAATTGTACTGTGCATCCTTTGTCATACATTCTTTTCTTGTGTCCGATCACGGCAAAGCTACCATAAGTAAGATTATGTTTCCTCTCTGTATGTGTATGTTCCAAAGGGGTTAAAATATTGAACCGATTTCGTTGAATAATGTATGTGTCAATCTATTAGTAAAAATGTTCTAGGAGTATTATGGTTATTTCAAAAGAATATAATCGAATAAATAGTACATTAATTTGAAAGCAAATTAAGTTAATTTTCTTGTTTTCAGGAGTGTGATTTAAAATAATTAGAGTAAAAGTTTTAACATAAAAATAATGAAAAAAAAAATGAAAAAATGTTTATTATTAACATGAAGCGTATTACAATAATAGAGGTTGGATTCCCCTTTTAAGTGTGAGAACACCTGTGTCAGGGAAAGCCATTCTCCCATAGCTTGAAGTAGTTATATAAAATAACTAGCTGACCCAGCGAACTTCGTACCGCCCTAAAAAATAGGGGTTGTCCAGCGGACAAAATTGTGAATCTAAACCATTCTCAGATCCCCTTGAACACACACAAAAAATTTCATCAAAATCGGTCCAGTCGTTTAAGAGAAGTTCAGTGACATACACACTCACAGAAGAATTATATATATAAAGATATTTTATTAGTTACTTTGTCTTCAACTATAATTGAGTGAAATTTTTATAAGGTAGAGTTGTTTCCAGATGATGATGATCATCATCATCATCATCAGCCTATTAATGTCCCCACTGCTGGGGCACAGGTCTTCCCTATGGATGGAATAGGGAGATTGGGCCATGACTCACCACGCGGGCCCAGTGCGGATTGGCGGGTGCTAACGACTGCCGATGCAGCCGGGACCAACGGCTTAACGTGCCTTCCGAAGCACGGAGGAACTCGAGATAGAAGAATTTTGGTCACCCATCCAATGACCGACCACTGCGAAAGTTGCTTAACTTCAATGATCGCAGCCGAACGCGGTCACCACCTGCGCCTCGAATGATGATGATGATGAAAATGTGCTACTCTGTTTTTCTAGTAAAATTTACAAATGTAGCAGTTTGATGCTGAAAACGTAATAATAACATAATTATATATCATTTTATTTATTTTCAGATCAAGGATTACTCTCTGGAATGCACTGACCTCTGGAGAAAGGAGGAGGAATTGAAAGAGGAGCACGCGAAGAGGCTGTCCCGCGGTACTTTACCGAATATCTACCATCTGTCCACGCCGAGCCACCGGGAGGCGCCGGCGTGGCGGCTACAACACGGCATTATAGCCAGGAACGATTTAATACCGGCCATACAACAGAACGCCGCAGGTAAAGGTTTTTAAGTTCTAAATATATCGTTGAAGTTAAGCAAGTTAAGTGGACTTTTTTACAGAACTTTTAAAGGGAAAGAATTCCGTCATACATATTTTTTGTGTAACTTTAACCGTTTACCCAGCGCACGCAACGGAATCTCACAAATGAAATATTTTTACCCGCTTTTGCAACATTTTTCATCGATGCTCCGCTGGTACTGGTCGTAACCTGATAATATATAGCCTATAGCCTTCCTCGATGAATGCACTGTCCAATACAAAAATAATCTTTCAAATCGGAACAGAAGAGCAATGCTGCATTCGGTACAACCGGTCTTAAACTGCGCAACGATTTTTTCGCTTGGAATGGAAGGTTTATAATTATTATGAAGAAAGTCATTGTGTATATTACAAGCCTTTGAACAAAAACTATAGCCTACACTACAGCTCTACACCGAAGCAAAAGCCGGACCACTAGTAATTGATGTACAGATAAACTTATTCTCCCTCTCAATTTATTAATCATATGTTCAACCTTATTGCACAGGTAACACAAGCCTTTGGGTTCAAAATATTTTGAACCGGAGCTCTTGTGACGTGAGCTGCTTAGAGGTAAGCGGCACCAAGCTCCACCCGCCGGCGCCGTTGCAGTCGCCGCCTGCCTACGAACCTTCTCTACAATCCATGAGGTACGATGATCATCAGCGACCTAATGTCCAAACTGTTGATCCAATATTTTGTAGGGTATTTCCTCCGTCTACAGTGCCTCTAAACGCTAGCAACTCTAAGACAAAGCAGAGGGACTGCGCTATGATTGGCTAATACAAGGTCATAATGTAAGTAAATTATATGACGACGGTACACGGAGCGATTTGGATGTTTTTCTCAGTTTTATTGTAACGAAAGTAGTCGACACTGATTGCGGGATTTTTTTCTGATTTATCAGTAATGGTAGCCATACACACTACGAGAAATCGTTACGATTAGACAGTACCGTCCGAACGGTACCGATAAATCGTAGCGTGTATGTTATAAAACTGCACAGTTTCCTATACGTACGCCACGTACGATAAACTGTTCCGTTCGAACTGTACAGTCTGATCGTAACGATTTCTCGTAGTGTGTATGGCTACTATAAGATGTGTTGTCATGACTATTGGCCTATCATTAGGCATTTAGGGGCTGTATAGTCGGCGGGTATTTCTGTAATCAGCTTCTATGCCTACAAGTACTCTTCTCTTCTGGCACTGTTTTTTTCTCTGCACAACAGTTGTAATATTGTAGCTGTTGTAACCTAGACAGTATTTTTTGTTGTCTGTATATATTTATTTGCCTTTATAAATCTTGCATGACCTCTTTGTTATCGTAAAACTATCTATGTAAATTGTTTTGTGGCCATGTGAAATTACCGATTAAAGTGCCCACGCTCTCTTTTGATTTCAGTGGTGGTGATATAAGGTAAACAGGGCTGAATGTTGTTGGAGGTATTTGTTTAACATAAAACATTTATATGGAGACGATCGTCAAGGGATATTAGGCCATAATGCGTGTGGCTAGTGCAAATCATAACTATCATTGCATCAGGTGTCTTTGCAACTGTCCTTCAGTTCTTCTTGTAGGATTTTCTCAAGTTTTAAAGACACGAATTAATTCTTTCACTATCAAAATATCACCTTAATACTCGGTGAGCTTGCTCGCTTTGTGTTCAACGTTATCATGTTGTTTACTTTGGTTATTTTTTAAAGTCTAGCCAAATTTTTAAGAAACAATCCTAGGTTAATGTTTTCAACGAGGAACTTTACGAAGCTGCAGTCATTTATCTTGATAACTCAACTCAACTCACTGTAAGGCTTGTGTTATGGGATACTAGGGTAGCGTATAGAATACATATATTGTACGTATAAAAATATATTTTCATAGAAATACACATTCAAGATCCGTGACTGGAGTACAAATGCTCGTATTCATCACACAAACATCTGCCCCCACCGGGATTCGAACCCGGGACCTCTCGAGTCGGCAACACCATGAAACCTAGCGTATAAACCACTCGGCCACGGAAGTCGTCAATATATTATAATAGTATTATGAATTACAAAATAGTATTATTGTATAATTGAATAAAATAATTTGCATGTTATCATTTAACACCGTGAATGTACCCTATTTCATGCAAATACTTTGAATTGAATTGGAATAGGATGTTAAGAATGGTAAGAAAAATATATCATGCCATAAATTGGCTTGTCTAGGCATTTATCACGGGGAGTGTTCTTTATTTATTTATTTATTTATTTATTTAATAATCACTTACATCTATCATTACAGGTATAACCTAATACAATAGAGCAGTTACGATACATCCAATTATTATACAAAACTAAAAATAAAAAAAAAAAAAAACACAAACACGAAAATAAAATAAACATTTCTATGATAGTCTACAATAAGCGGCCCGTGTGAATTCATTCAATGTGCATTGAAACAAGTCAATGTGCAGAGACAGCGTGTTGAGTGCATGCGTGAGAGGAGCGCAGTGCTGCAGGTTAGTGCGCGCGCGCGGCACACACAACAGGGGAGGCTGCCTCCGTCGCCTCGCGTACTCGTTGGGCACACACAACTGAACTGTGTGAAGAATCTCTGGGTTCCTTAGTTTACCACGAATCACTTTGAATAAATAAGTGGCCAGAGACACTTCCCTCCTTACTTCTAATTTAAAATAGCCCGTCATGCCTAGTGTGAACAGAGTAGGGTACAAAAGTGGAAAGCCTGGATACACACCATACTGCTTCAAAAAAATAAATCTCACGAATTTGTTCTGGATGCGTTCTAACATTAATTTATATTTCGCTTCTTGTGGCGACCAGACTAAAGCATTGCATTCTAAATGGCTTTTTACAAGGGATTCGTATAAAGCTTTTATTGCACTGAGATTTGTAATTCGTTCGCTTGACGTAAAACTAAGCCCAAATTCCGGTAAGCTTTCTTACAAACTTCTACGATATGCTGTCGAAAATTCACATCGGTAGTGAAGCGCACGCCTAAGTCCTTCACTTCGGATACACGTTTCAGTGGCATGCTGTCCATGTAGTACTGATGGTGACTCGGGCTACGCGCTCGACTAAACGATAATACGGAACATTTGTCCACGTTGAAGTACAATTTATTTTTAAAACTCCACTCTACTACCCTATCTATATCCTGTTGCAAAGAGTCATGACCGGATCCCTTTATTGTGCGAACTAATTTTAGGTCATCAGCAAATAACAATGGTGTAGACATCTTGACTACTTTCGGCAAGTCGTTGATCATTAAAATAAATAGCAGAGGTCCTAAATTACTGCCTTGACTTACACCTGATCTTGTAAAATAGGGTTCGGATAGCCTGCCGCTGCAATCCACGTATTGGCATCGGTCTCGTAGATACGAGGCGAAAAATGACAACGTGTGCGGTGTGCAACCTACGTTAGCCAACTTTGATAGAAGTACATCATTATCAACAGTATCAAAGGCCTTCCTAAAATCAAAGTAGGCAACATCAACTTGGTGACCGGCATCTACTGTCGGTACTATGTGTGCCATAAGATTCAACAAGTTCCCTGTTGTCCCCCGCCCAGGACGGAAACCGTGCTGTGCGTCTGACAACAAAGCACTTATTTTCGGATACAGGCTACTATGAATAGTCGACTCGAATACTTTAGCTGGAGTGCATAAAACCGCAACTGGTCTGTAATCACTAGCCGCCGATCCTCCACTACCTTTTGGCACCGGTACTACCCTTGTGAGTTTCCAGCGATCAGGACACTTTGCATTTTTGATACATAAGTTGAATATATGTAACAATGGTTCCACTAACACTGCTCTGCAATCTCTAAAAATTAACGAAGGAATGCCATCGGGCCCTGCTGAACGTTTAGGGGGCAAGCGCGCGAGTGCGTGTTGCACTTCCGCGGGAGTCACGCAAGTCAGGTGCGCCCAGGCACCGGTCGCTGCGCCTGCTTCAGAATTTGCACTCGCCGCCTCCACACTTAGCACGGGAGGCTCTGGATTGTATACAGAACGGAAGAACCGAGCAAACTCATTGGCACATTCGTTTTCCGTCAGTACCCTCCCGTCTTTAATCAATCTACGATTATTCGAATTCCCTTTCTTAGATCTTATGTATTGCCAAAAAGCTCGCGGGTCCCTCACTAAGTGTTGCTGTACGCGGTCGCGGTACTGATCATGAGCTAATGCAGTTTCAATTTTAACTTTCGCTCTACATTGTGAAAACTTTTCATAATCACCGCGCAATTTACTGGACTTATATTTTTTATGCAATCGGTATTTCAACTTTATATTTTTAATAATTTCAGCCGTGTACCACACCGGGTAAATAAACCTGCTATCACATTTGTTTGAATGATTTTTTTTATGAGGAACACATTTGTCAAAAATTTCATATATCTTATCATAAAATAAATTTAAAACTACATCCGGATCTTGTCTATCATACAGATCACTCCAGTCTGCCTCTGTTAATAAAGAATATAATAAATTAAAATCGCTTTATTGAAGTTCCATGAATTATGAGTACTCAGGGAATGGGTGTATCGCGGAGGAGTGGTAGGTACGGGTGGCGGCTGTGCGGTTGATAATGAGCACGGGCGCGGGCGCGGGCGCGGGCTATGCGCCCAGTCCACGTGCACGGCCAGCGGGGGGTGATATGCGTCCACGGGTTGCAGGCCCTCATCTGCTGCGCTCACAGACACGCCTCGCTCGCGCTCAGCACGAGGTCCAATTGTCTATTATTGCAGTTTGGGACCGTGTTATATTGAATGAACTCACAGAAGGCCAAAAAGTATTCGTAATAGTTTAAAATATTAATGTTGCATGAATACAAATTAAAGTCTCCTAATATAACCAAATTACCCTTATATTTAATACAGATATTTTCTAATATGCTAAACAATAACATATATTCATTCTCGTCACTCTGCGGTGGAATATACACTACACAGCAAGTAAACAAAAAACGATTTTTTATATATACAGTAGCACAAATCAATTCAAAACTTTGATTATCTATATCAACATCACCTGGCACGGTCACTCGACGCAATTCAAACCTCGGTGTGGCCACTAAAAGTACCCCTCCTTGCTTCCGGCCATCAGCTCGATCGCATCTTAATGTTTGTACCCAGGTAGCACAAATTCTGCGTTTTCATAGCTTCACTTAGCCCAGTTTCACTAATAGCGAATAAATCAGAACCTGATGACTCAAATAGTGATAAACATTGTGCAGTCTTCGTCCGAAGTCCTCTGGCATTTTGGTATAAAATATTAAAATATTTGCTTGGTTTCTGATTAGTTTGCCGCGGTTGGGCGGCGAAACCATATCCATTCGCTGAATTCTACATTTTCAGGCCATATTTTAGGATTACAAAGTTTCTCAAAATTACTTAACGTAACACCAACCTTGAAGGAAGCATAATCACGCTCAGTTTTAGGGTTAATTTTATCAATTAAAATTTCAGAGTCATTTCCAAGAATTTGTTTGATATACGCCATTAAATTTTCTTCTGTAGTATTTTTCTGCAGTCTCCAAACGTGCAAAAATTTTTTACGTTCCACAGCCTTCAAACAAGTAATTAAGTTATTGTCCCCTCTTTTTATAGGATTGCTCTTCCTATTACTTTTAACTTCTATCCAGTCCTGGTCATTATTATTATCCAATTGCCCACATGTCTCAATCGTTACTTTCCTGGCCACTGCCGAGTAACTAGCCTTAACAGGCCTCAGAACAGCGGGAGCGGGTGAGGGTTTAGTAATGGGTACCTGCGTTCCATTGTTCTTATCACTAGTGCCAGATGTAATGGCCGGAGATGCAACACACTTTGGTGATATTTGTATAGCTTTCGGTTGTAGATTTTGGCAACAACAATCAGGAATAACATTCTTGTCAATACATATCTGTGCATTAGTCTCCAAGTTTTTGATTTTCCGCTCATAAGAACTACATTTCGTATTAGCTTCACTCAATTCCTGTCGTAATTTACTATTTTCTAACGCCAGTACAGTCACAGTGGCTTTTATTTCTTGTATTATGTTGGCTTCAAAAGCACAAAATTTTTCCATTATCATTTTATTAACTTTATCAATTATCTCAACAGATGACAAAGCCTCGACCTTTGACTGAGAAACATGTTCCTCGAGGGATTGATTATTATTAGGTTCTATAGATCCTGCAGCATCACAAACCCCACGTACGGGTGTCGTCCGTTACCCGTATACGCTGGGTCACATTAGAGCAGGAATCACACTTAAAAGTACGCTTTCCTTCTCTAGACATGGTGCTTGTGGTGTTCACACATCCATAATGATATCCTGTCTTGCATCCAATACATTTGATCATTTCTCCTACCTCAATCTCTTTACAACAAATAGTACAGTTCATTTTGTATATATAGAAAATTAATCTTACTCAGAACAAGCGCATCACTGCGTCGGACCAAGCTAAGCCGAGCCGTGCGCAAACGGCCGTTATAGACACTTGTGAATTTAAAACTCTTATCACTGAATATCCACTAAACGTTCATTAAAAACACTACTACCATATTTAAGATCGTGAAATACGGAACCTATCAATATAAACACTAATGGTAACTATACTTTAAACACATTTTTTCAATTAAAATTTGCGGAGCCTAAGAAAACGCGCCTACTCTAGAGAACGGCTTGCCTACATTGTTCGGATTAATTCCAGCTGCTGCATTTCGCCATCGTACATCGCGACAAAAATTTCATCCCCATCGTCTTGATGCGTGGCTATCCACAACCGTGCGTTTTTGTCGATTTTTTTTTACCTCGTACGACAAGACTGTGGAATATATTCTCGCCAGCAGTGTTTCCGGACCAATACGACCCGAAAACCTTCAAAAAAAGAGCGTACTCCTTCCTTAAAGGCCGGCATCACATTTGTGATACTCCTGGTGTTGCAAGTGTCCATGGGCGACGGTGATCACTTACCATCAGGTGAGCCGTCTGCTCGTATGCTCTCTATAACATAAAAAAAGCAATATTCTGTACTTTTGCTGCTCGTCGTGCCTCTCTGAATGACGAAGGTTGGTCGTCAGCTCTGCATACTTAGGCCCGTATTACAGAATGAAAACTTAGTGTTGATCTTTACTTGAGTACAGTTAGAAAGGGATGTCGCTATGTGCTATATATAGCGATATGCCTTTCTAACTATGCTCAAGACTAGATCAATCACTGAGAATCTTTCTATAAAACGGGCCTTAGAGATACTGAAATAAAGAAAGATAATCGTTTTATTAAACTTTAATGCGTTGATCGAAAGTATATTATACAATATCAAATCGTAGATTAACCTCCTGGTAAACAGGGCAGGAGGAGCTCGATGGCGCAGGTGGCTAGCGCGTTCGGCTGCGATCGTTGAAGTTAAGCAACTTTCGCAGTGGTCGGTCATTGGATGGGTGACCAAAAATTTACTATCTCGAGCTCCTCCGTGCTTCGGAAGGCACGTTAAGCCGTTGGTCCCGGCTGCATTTGCAGTCGTTAGCACCCACCAATCCGCACTGGGTCCGCGTGGTGGGTCAAGGCCCAATCTCCCTATTCCATCCATAGGGAAGGCCTGTGCCCCAGCAGTGGGGACATTAATAGGCTGATGATGATGATGAAACAGGGCAGGGTCCTCCCTACCTCAGCATTAGCTATTGCGTCGCACCAGCGCCGAAATTCTTACTTACTTCTCCTTTGCTTCGATGAAATGGAATATTTCCTCAATGTTTGGGATTCCAGTGCGCTAAGAATTGCCTGTTGATATATCAGTTTGTTTAAAGAAAATATAACTAGAAAAAAATCCACGCGGACCAGGCAGCAGACGGGACTCGAACCCGCACCCTTCGCAATCCGGGCGAATGCACTGACGAATTATGCTACCGCGGCCCTCAGGGACCGCGTCGAAATTCCTCTAGCCATTCTTAAGCTGCAAGGCAGCGCCATCTCTTCGCATTATAGGTAACCCACAATGTCAAATGAATACTTTTACAAGTATTTAAATATTTGAAAGAAGAAGTAGCAATCATAGTTATAATTTTAATTTTTTTAAAGCATGTAACTGCTTGATATTTAAATCTAAAGAAAATATAACTAAAAATGTGGTTTATCTATAATGCGAAGAGATGGCGCTGCCTTGCAGCTTAAGAATGGCTAGAGGAATTTCGACGCGGTCGGTCTCTGAGGGTCGCGGTAGCATAATTGGTAAGTGCATTCGCCCGGATTGCGAAGGGTGCGGGTTCGAGTCTCGTTTGCTGCCTGGTCCGCGTGGATTTTTTTCTAGTTATATTTTCTTTAGATTTACACATAAAGCAGTTAGGGGAAACCACCTAATCATTGGCACTCGTCCTATTATTGGCACTTTTGAGTTTAATTCGAAAAAAACAAGGAGACAATAGATTATTCAAGGTCGTTACATATTAAAAAGAAAAACCTAGTATGGTTACGAAATTTGAAAATTGGCAGCATTATTCCTATAATCTATTGTTTCCTGGTTTTTACAAGCTTTTATTTAACTTGCTATGTATGTTTGTTACGGTCAAATCTTACAACTCAATTTTAAAGCACTTGCCCTCAACCGATTAAGCTGAAATTTGGTATGCTCGTTCAGTTCGGATGACAATGCATGATTAACAGTGTGACGTCATTCTAAATCCAATGTGGCGGCATACCCAAAATGGCGGACCAATCATTTTTAATGCATTCCTACAATATGGGTATCAAATTAAAGGGCTTGCTGAGAGTAACTCGAAAAAAATGTGACGTCACTCTCAATCCGATATGGCGGACTTCTAAAATTTGAAAATCTATTTAGAAACAAACTTTGACTAAATTTTCTTTTTTTCTTTTTAGCGCATTTGAATAAAAGCTTGATTTTAAAAAGGTTTTTTTTACCTTAATTTTTTTTGAACTAAATTCAAAAGTGCCAATAATAGGAAGAGTGCCAATGACTGTGTAGTTTCCCCGACATGCTTTAAAAAAATAAAAATTATACCCTTGTGTTTGTTTGTTTAACATTGAAGTATCGGCGAGGTGACGGCGCGTGCTCCCCCGCCGCCCCGCGCGCCGCTCCCCGCGCACCCGCCAACGCCAGACTACGTCATCTGCGTGCCACCAAAACTGGAATTCATCAACTTTACTGTCGGAAAATCGCATACGGTGAGAACTTTTTTATTCACATCATCATTGACATGATCAGATAATGTGTAATATCCCTAATGTTGGTACAACAAGGCAGGGATGTAACGGAGGCAATTTATCCGAACCGAAGTCGGAGTTTTAAAATTTGAATTATCGGAGTCGGAACCGGAGTCGGAGGCAGAGTCAGCAGTGGCAACAAGAGAGATATTTTTCATTCAAGAACAAATAAAAACACCATTCTGTCAACCCTTTTTAATTCTAATTATAAAATAACCTTTTTTTATTTAAATTTACTTATTATTAACACAGACTCCCAACGTTACGGGTCACTATTTGCTATGCTCCGACCTCCGATTAAAAAGTTTCGGAGCCGAAGTCGGAACCGAAGGTGTAACAACAATCGGAAGTTCCGCCTTATCGGAATCGGAGTCGAAGCTTAACATCCCTGCAACAAGGCGTTTTGTATAGCCAGAATCAAATAGAAACGACGAGCTATATAACTCTTCGTTCGTGGACATACTGCAAGTAAATTAATGACTGTACAGATGTAGATGGGATCATCAACTTATGATACTTTACAAGATGGAGATTAAAAAACAATTGGGTTCAACGAAAAAGCCGCTGTATCTAGCCTTCCTTAAAAGAGTGAAGATTGGATTTAGTAAGTTTTTTGAGAATTCTACAGAAATCTATCATTTTCAGGGATAAGAAGTATCCTACGTCTCCAGGTAATAAACTTTATTTTTGTGCCAAATTTAATTTAAAACTGTTGAGTTGTTGAACTTTTTATTGATAAGATATTTTCATGAACATGAAACTTTTGAGTTACTTTAACACAAAAGATTTCCAAAAGATTATTTATCTTATGTGAAAATTGGTATTGTCATTGCATGAAACCACGCCCAAAATGATACAAAAGATATTTGTTTCTTATGTTTCCACGCACATCACTCATTAAATAAAACTAGTTTTTAAAGGGTTAATGCACGAAACTTTATTTATTTATCGACGTTTCGCAGCCTTGTAAGGTCTGCATCGTCAGAATAATGATTTCGTCTTTCGAAGGTTGTATTTCTGCATTTCAAAGACTTGCAGTTGCAGTATGTTCTGTTACTAGATATTTCGTCTTTCGAAGGTAGCTCGACAAAATTAAATAAAAAATCAATTTTCTGACGACGTAGACCTGAAAAGGCTGCGAAACGTCAATAAATAAATAAAGTTTTATGCATTAACCCGTAAAATCTAGTTTTTTTTGATACAAAAGATCTCTTGGTCTGCGGACTTAAGTTAAGTTTAAGTTGCATAGAAATATTCAGATTTCGTAGTACCACTGGCAATCACAAAGGATTTCATTCCGTTTCTGGATTTAAAAAATATATTGGTTTCAATTGCGGTCTCGTGACTTCCATTTAGCGGTTCTAAAGCTTTGCTCGTAAATTGAAAAATGTAACCTTCTATCTTGATTTAGAGAGCACTATTCTTTGAAATGCAGAGATACGAAATCGATTCGTTATGTGTTCGACACTTTCATGCACCTCTCCTTAAACCTTTATACTCTGACTGTATTTTCAAAGAAATGTGCTTTGCTGAAATTTGGCGATGCACAGTTATGAAACGTAACTGATATTACACTCATACCAACTTGCCTCTGATTTCATTGGCCTAATTTTGCCTTGAACTATCGCGATGGCGAAATAACCCGCGCTAAACTGCTCACAAAGGATATAAATACCAGTACCATGTATAGGGCTGTTCAACAAGAACTTTGTTTTTGAATTGTGGCTACACCAACAATATGATAGTTTTCACATTTACTTTTTTAACGTATTCGTCGAAGATGCATTGGCAATTGTTATAATAAATTCAATTTCGTTTGAAAATCGAATTAAAATAATTAAAATCCACTATGAAAATAGTGGTTCTGTTACAGTTACATTTTGTCAAATTTGTGATTTTTTCGGACAACATAATCGTCCTTCTGAGACCGCTATTAAGAATTTGGTCGTTAAATTTGAGTCGACAGGCTCGATACAAAATGTGCCAACACCAACGCGTGTTCAACCGGGTCGTTCAACTGAAAGCATCGCAGCCGTGAGCCACAGTGTTGAGGCAGATCCAAATTTGTCAACTCTGCGACGTTCTCAATAATTGGTTATCCAGAACCACCAAATGGCGAATTTTGGCCTATTATTGATGACGTGGATATAACTGATATGTGGTTTCAACAGGACGGCGCCACATGTCACACAACCAATGAAACGATCAATTTATTGCAAACCAAATTTCCCGATTGCATAATTTCACTAAACTCGGCTGTTAAGTGGCCAGCCAGATCATGTGATTTAACACCACTAGATTATTTTTTGTGGGGTTATGTTAAGGACAGAGTGTATATGGGGACAATCGAATCGATTGCAGCCTTAAAATTCAAAATCCATGATGTGATTAACGAAATAGTCCCGCCATTTTGCCAAACAGTGATTAAAAACTTTGATGAAAGAATCGACATCTGTCAGCGTGCTCGTGGTGGACATTTGCAAGATATCATTTTTTTTCTAGTTATATTTTCTTTAGAGTTAAACATCAAGCAGTTACATGCTTTAAAAAAAATAAAAATTATGACTATAATTGCTATTTCTTCTTTCAAATGTTTAATACTTGTAAAAGTATTCATTTGACATTGTGGGTTACCTATAATGCGAAGAGATGGCGCTGCCTTGCAGCTTAAGAATAGCTAGAAGAATTTCGACGCGGTCCGTGAGGGCCGCGGTAGCATAATTGGTCATCATCATCAGCCTATTAATGTCCCCACTGCTGGGGCACAGGCTTTCCCTATGGATGGAATAGGGAGATTGGGCCATGACCCTCCACGCGGACCCAGTGCGGACTGGTGGGTGCTAACGATTGCAGATGCAGCCGGGACCAACGGCTTAACGTGCCTTCCGAAGCACGGAGGAGCTCGAGATAGTAAATTTTTTTGTCACCCATCCAACGACCGACCACTGCGAAAGTTGCTTAACTTCAACGATCGCAGCCGAACGCGCTAACCACTTGCGCCATCGAGCTTCTTTTCTTCGTATTTTAACATGCGTTTACTAAATTTATAATACAATATTTTTAGCACAATGATTGCGGTTGTGGAAGTTACGCAAACTTAATCTTTAACTTACATTTGAAAATCGGGTGGGAAACTAAAGTTTATTATTTTTTAACTTCTCTATATCCTCGATCCTGACATCATTTGCCGCCAAACGAAAGCACCAACGAATCCGTTAGTCATTACCCAATCTCCCTATTTCATGCGCAGGGCAGGCCTGGCCCATCATTAATGCAGTGATTATGATTTAGATTCCTTGCTATTTCTGGAATGACTCCGAGCAAAACAGGCGTCGAATAAGTCTCGAGATGCAGAAACGCCCATTTATAGAAAAAGCTTGACGCCGCTTCAACTTTTAGGAATCCATAGCCTGGTGAATGTAGGGTTACCAGATGATAAAATCAAAAATCCGGAGAAAAGGCTTGATTTCCATTGAAAAATCCTGAGATTTTTTACAGTTTGAGAATTTTCTCTCAAAACTACTTAACAATTTAAAAAAGTCGTAATATTATCGTTTATACTCTGCTTACACTTTTAAATCAATATAATTTGAAGGGCTTAACATGTGGGGCATTATATGAATCCATAATTAAAGAAAAAACCTTACTTAAAAATGTATCTTCATATATTAAGTATGATAAAACTGATTAAGTACTTACTTGGATAATAAAGTACTGATTTTAATTGTGCAATTATTACCAATAGAAGATTATTTTTAGTTTAACTTTTTATAGTAAGCTGAATTTTATTGGAAATTCAAAAAATGCAGAGATTTCATGAGATTTGCAAAATCCAGCCGCAATCCTGAGAAGAGTCCAAAAATCCTGATATCTGAGGACAAATCCTGAGATATGGTAACCTTAGGTGAATGTGTCAAAGCTCTGACCCCATCCCCTACCCCGTGTAGGCCTGGAACCGCACTCAAAGATAGTAACACTATACCACTAAAAGGAAGTGGTATTTTACCACTAAGTAAGGTGGAGGTTACTGTCCCAGACGGGCGCTCCAATTCGAATTGAAAAATCCTCTATGAGAGTTATCACTTAGAGAGTCCTCTCCTCCTGGTTGTGTCGTGTTCCTCATTGCTGAGGGTCGTGACCTCCACGAATTATTTTGTGGACGATCGCTTTCCACTTATTGCGGTCTTCGACAGTGTGGAGTGCATCGCGGACTCCAGTTTTGATATTGTCGCGGATCTGGTCTGTCCAGCGCATGGGGCTTCTTCCTCTCGGTCGCCTTCCCTGTACTTTTCCTGTCCCCAGGAGCACTTCCAGTGTATTTATATACACTTAGAGAGTAGAAAAGCCAATATTTAAATGGGTATGTCTTGGGTGTAGATGACTGAAACGTATTTGGTGTGAGGCCGAAAAAAATAGTCTTTGTAGAACTAAACGTCATGTTGTGCGGTCCACGTCCAATCGTCAAATTGTGTATGGAAAACCGGATAGGTTCTGCTTACGTCCGCTAGGGGCACTGCTTAGTTTTCATAGAGACTTCGACGATGCTTTACGGAGCTGCCGAAAATTTGTGCTTGGCCCTCTTAAGGTACTATTCCATGCATCGCGATCGATCGCGGCCGCGCGCGGCCTACGACTGTCGTCGGTCGCTTGCGGCAATAGTCATAGTATGAAAATGTATGAAATGCGAGCGTGAGCCGCGCGCGGCCGACGACTGTCGTGAGTCAGGCAGGAGAAAACTTCCGAAACTTTTTTTCATTACAATACAAATGCTTTTGAATCAATATTTGTTTGTAGCCTTCTTCATTCCTGCTTTTAAAGGTAGGGTCGATTGGTTCTCTTTTTTCATAATATAACAACAGCAGCTCGTCATCTTCCTCTTCTTCTTCAAGAATGTCAATTAGCACTTCGACCATGATTTTGACTTACGGTAGACACACGTCTAGAGGGATATGCCGAACAGCACCGACTAACTTTGAGACACGACAGTCGCAGGCCGCGCGCGACCGCGGTCGATCGCGATGCATGGAATAGTACCTTAAGAGGGCCAAGCACGAATTTTCGGCAGCTCCGTAAAGCATCGTCGAAGTTTCTATGAAAAGTAAGCAGTGTCCCTAGCGGACATAAGCAGAACCTATCCGGTTTTCCATACACAATTTGACGATTACGACACGTTACGGAGCTGTCGAAAATTCGTGTTCGGGCATCGGATTCTTCTTTATTACGGTCGTTACTGCAACTTGAAGCAAGAGGTAATCGTCATAAGTCTATTAATGACCACGTGGACCGCACAACATGACGTTTAGTTCTACTAAGACTATTTTTTCCGGCCTCACACCAAATACGTTTCAGTCATTTACACCCAAGACATCGCTTGCGATCGCTCGCGATGCACGGAATAGGGATGATGACTAATTTTTTTTCTTCGTTTATCAGGTAGATTATCAAAAAGTATTGGACACGTATTTTTTCTTTTTTCACATAATATAAAAATTGCAGAGATATATTGATTTGAAAAGTCGCATGACGTCACGTTTGAGTACACTTATAAGTGAAAATTCACTCAAAAGTGACGTCACGAGCCCCTACTCCCAAACTTTGACGCGCCATAACTTTTTCATTTTTTGGTTGATTGCCCAAAGAAAAAATACGTGTCCATTATTTTTTGATCATCTAACTGACGGACTAAATAGAATTTCGTTTACTGTATCCCGTCATCACCCCTATTGCACCTTTAACTCTACTTACGCTTTCAGCAATCCATCCGTTTGGTGAATGTGTCAAAACTGGAAGTCCGCCTCTCGCTACGTCCTCCAGCCCGCCGCGAGCTAGACGTCACGTTGTGCGGTCCGCGCGGACTCACAGTCACCGCAGGCTCAGCGACCGAATTGCGCGTGCGATTTACACCGAGTGACGTCCGACCCGTGAAGGACACGCTGCTTGTACGAGTGTCCACTGGGACGACGATCGATGTGCCAATACATTGTTATATGCAGCCACCGATACTGGAAAGTAAGTTTTTTAATGTTCAATGATTGGCAAACAAGCTCATGGCTCGCCTGATAGTAAGCGGTCACCATAGCCTATAGACGCTTGCGATCAACGATATTAAATACCCTAGATACACCACGTGCGCTCAAAATGTGTCCCTATCGTCGAGGGAAGTGAAGCACTTCTTGGTTCACAGTCACGAGCGGACCGTTGAAAAGTCAACATGCCGCTGAGCTCCGTGAAAAAATGCGAAAGAAATACTTATAGTATGTAAAATGACATTTTTTCGACAGGTATCTAATCAATGTTTGTTAATTTAACGCATTTCAAGCAATTTTTGTTTTAATACTTAGTATAAACTGATTTAATAGAAAATATTTGTGATATTCAAATGTATCGTCGGTAATATAGCCGTCTCTTTTCTTCGCGGTCCGTATCTGCTATATTGCCAACAGCGCATTCAGAATTGCGCGTACAATCAAAAAAATACTAATAATATAACTAAAAAAAAAAAAAAAAAAAAAAATACTCTTCCGTATGTAGCAATAAGTCGTAAAATTTTACGAGCTTACATCTCGGACTGTCATAACTCTTTGACCCATGCGTTTTGACTTATACTGTTTAGACTACGTGATCATCTTACAGAGCTCCGTTGATCGTCTAATGTACCTCTTGGACAGGTTTCGGGCATGATTTTGTTCGTGTTGGTGTATCTAGGGTTTTTAATGTCGTTGCTTGCAGTAAAAAAAATATCACTCGCGCCCTTACCTACCCTGTGGAGGCCTGGAACCTTAGGGTTGGACCTCATCTGGCAGCACGGAATCGGCCTTTTTCCGTCGCTCTTTCTCTTTCTGTCGCTTAGAACTGCCATTTGCTAGACCGAGACAGAAAGCATAATGCGATAGCACGCGGCGGAATCCTCGAGGCGATCGGCATCGACTCCGGAACGCTGAAGCGCGCGATAGCATGCTAACGCATCCTACGCATCATTATTATTTTGATTTTGCATTTCTTGCAAAATACACGCTAGAATCACTGCTCTCTCTTCCGTGGTCCGATCCATCTCGCGCTTGAAACTAAACTGATCATGAAAGAACGTGGCAGTATGCCACCCATGCTGCAGCATGCTGACGCGTGCGATCGCCTTTTTTGTCTGCGGAATGCGACAGCGCGCGTTCGCATGCGGCAGCATACTGCAGCACGTGGTAGCACAAACGGAACAAATGCGATTCCGTGCTGCGATTTTTCACTCGAATTGGAGCACCCGTCTGGGGAAATAACCTCCACCTTACATTTCACTCGAATTGGAGCACCCGTCTGGGGAAATAACCTCCACCTTACAGAAGACCACAGTCAAATACCGCTTCCTTTTGGTAGTGCTATGTTTCTGTGGTTGAGTAAGGTTCCAGGCCTCCACAGGGTAGAAGCAGGGTTCAGGGTAAGCAAGGGCGCGATTTTTTGTGCCCTACCTTACAGAGAGAGTTATCTCTTAGAGAGTAGTAGAGCCAACGTTTTAATTAAAACGCTATTCGTCTTGGCCGCAGATGACTGCAAGCTATTTGGTGTGAGGCCAAAATCGTTTGTGATGGAGCGCCATTGCTTCCTATTTTGATCATTGCAATTCGACTTGGCTACAGGTGAAAAACCCTTACTATTTGGTGTGAGAGTTGCATTTCAATTGGTGGAATAATGCGTATGAAAGCTTAAGAGCGGACGCGAGTTGGGAGACATTTGAGAAATAGATATTTGAAAAAAATATTTTTATCACGCATTGGCAAATACCGTGAGACGGGGGTAACAGTAGTTAACGCTGAAAATTGCGTGCAAAAATTGCAAAATTCGAGGGTTGCCTCACGACAATTTCCTCCTCGAAAGTTTCATATATTTAAAAGAAATTGTATCCATACAATTATAAAAACTTACACTAGGCCTCTATGTTTTGCTTTTTTTGTAAACGCTTTTTGAATCTTCAAACTACAGTCATCACAAAATAATAGGCCCGTTTTGACATTTGTAACTAATGATGTAACCATACGACTCGGTACACGATACTCACGATAAATCGATTTAAGCTTGTATGAGTATTTGATTATAATTTATAATAAAGTGCATTTGATTTAGGTTCTGATTAGAAAATTTAACTAAAACTGTAATATGTAATGATACAATGGTACGAAAGGTCATTTTGACTTTAATTATGTTTTTTTAGTTATAACTAGCAAACCCAGCGAACTCCGTTTCGCCACCAGATAGAGATAGCTTCGTTTTATGTAACATTTCGTTTAGTGATTAAAAGAAGATTTTTTTTTTAAATTTTCCTGAATTTTCTTTGCTATAAACCTCACGGAGCCCGAGACCTTTCCAACGAATGCAAAACCGTGGAAATCGGTTCGTGCGTTCTGGAGTTATAGCGTCAGGAAGGAAAACCCGACTTATTTTTATATAGTAGATAACATTCGCTCAATCACAAAAAAATCAAGAAAAGTGCAAATGATTCGTAAATCAATATTTTTCTTCTGACGATCAGCCATAAACGTTATAAATATGGCATAACTTTATTCCATTTTCATAACCGGAACCTCTTAGCCATGTATGGTCTCCTGGTACTTTTTCGTAATAATGTTTTTGAAGTTATACTTCTTTAGGCGCGTTATGAAAAAATGATGAGAGTGAAATTTTAAGATGCGCGCGCATCACTTGTGTTTACCGCACATTAAGAAAATCTACCAACAAAATAGAAATAGAATCTCTATTTAGTGGGTGCTAACGACTGCATTGTGAAGGCCTATCAAAAGTATTTATTAATCTGCAACAACGGAACCAAAGCGCGATTCAGGAGACTACAGCGCCATCTCTTGACCATTTGTGTAGTAGAACCAAAAACCACATCTTTATTTTTTGTAATAAAGTAACAGTATAATTTGTGATATTAGTAGTCTTTAGTGAAGATACAAAAATTGCTTATTGTTGGAATTTTTGAAGGATTCTAGTTTCTTTAAAGTACACGTTAACGAAAAAAGGAAGACATAGGAGCATAGAATTAGAAAACATATATTTTACAGGTAAAAATAAATTCTTTGCTGATAAAAATTAAAGAGGAATCAATGGAGAAGGTTTGTATGGAAAATTCATTGGCCACCTCCCCTCTTAACGATGGTACGGAATGCTTTGAGAACTCAGTCAGTTCTTTTCCACGCTTCCGAGAGCTAAATAAGAATTTATTATACTTTTGAAATGATAAAGAATGCGAAGGCAAAAGTCATTTCAGCTTTTTTACACTTCGGAACTCCCATGAATATTGAATATTGGGTCTGCCGCCGAATGCTTTTAACATTATCACCATTAATTTTGTTTTTCATGGCTTTATTTTCTCCTGTAAATGAAGATTTGTTGGTGATTCTGTATATAGGGTATAATACTGATATTTTCTGTTTTGATATTACTAATTTAATTCCAACGTGTATTGAATATAAACACCACTTCTTACAATATTCTTTAATGATACTATATATTTATATTGTAAATGATGTAATGAAGGTGACATCAGACGTATTTCTGAAGTAATTTTTCAACTTTATACAGAGAGAAAAAAACAGCTCTTGCTGAGTTTCTTGCCGGTTCTTCTCAGTACAAGGTCTACCGCCGTAGTTTTGCGAACCGATGGCGTAGCTTCTTGACCTTCACAAGTGTTTGTAATAGCCTAGACTGAATAAATGACTGTTCATTTCATTTCATGATGATTACAAGATTGGAAAAATATATCTCTATATTCTCTAGATGTCCAAGAATTATCGCTTTCTAAATCAAATTTGGAAAAAAGATTTTGTATCTTCTTATTTAAAATGATATGTATAGGGACGTGGAGAGCCTTAAGCTTAGAATAATAACGCCTAAAAGCCTTGTGAGGAGCTCGGTAGCGCGTTCGGCTGCGATCGTTGAAGTTAAGCAACTTTTGCAGTGGCCGAATTGGATGGGTGAACAAAAATCTTCTATCTCGAGTTCATCCGTGTTTCGGAAGGCACGCTAATCCGTTGGTCCTGGCTGCATCAGCAGTTGTTAGCACCTGTCAAACCACACTGGGCCCATGTGGTGGGCCATAGCCCAATATCCCTATTCCATCCATAGGGAAGGCCTATGCCCTAGCAGTGGGGACATTAATAGACTGTGATAATTATAATGATGTAAAGCCTAGTACTCGCACGATAAAGGCGCAACTCAAAGCGAGCCATATCTGGCTCAGTTCCTCCGTGAGCTGTCAGTACTCAAGGTCATGTTGCGTCAAACACTGCTAACGAAAAAAATTAAAATAATAATAAATAATAAATAAATAAATATTTGCAACACTCACACCAATTAGCCTAGCCCCAAAGTAAGCACTATGGCTTGTGTTATGGAATACTAGGGTAACGGATAGAATACATATACTGTACATATATAAGTATATTTATATAGAAAATACATATTAAACATCCATGACTGGAGTACAAATGCTCGTATTCATCGCACAAACATCTGCCCCCACCGGGATTTGAACCCGAGACCTCTCGAATCATGAAACCATCCACAGCCACGGAGGTCATCGAAAAATATTGTTTTTACTGATCAGGTTATACTTGTATACGTACGATAAACAAAAAATATATTCCAGTATATATTTCGCGTACAATATTTTTTTCCCTGGTACCTCGCAAGATTTGAACCAGTAAACTGTAATATTCTGGCGATATGCAGGAAAAAAAATTGCCGGTGAAAATAAGAAAAAAAAGTAACTTGAGACCCAAATCAATGCAATTAGCAGTATTTAAATTCCGTCCTACATACAATTAGTTGAGATAATCTAATGAACTCTGATACAGTAAAGATCAATAAATTTAAGTAGTAACAATTTCAATTCCTACAATCATTGTTGGCTTTCCGACAAATAATAGGGATGATGACTAATTTTTTTCTTCGTTTATCAGGTAGATTATCAAAAAGTATTGGACACGTATTTTTTCTTTTTTCACATAATATAAAACATTGCAGAGATATATTGATTTGAAAATTCGCATGACGTCACGTTTTACAATTAAACAAGTACAATTTTCACTCAAAAGTGACGTCACGAGCCCCTACTCCCAAACTTTGACGCGCTATAACTTTTTAATTTTTTGGTTCATTGCCCAAAGAAAAAATACGTGTCCATTATTTTTTGATCATCTAACTGACGGACTAAATAGAATTTCGTTAACTGTACCCCATCATCACCCCTATTAGCAGTATTTAAATTATTTCCTACATACAATCAGTTGAGATAATCTAATGAACTCTGATACAGTAATGATCAATAACTTTAAATAGTACCAATTGCAATTCCTACAATCATTGTTTCCTTTCCGACAAATAATTAAAGAATCTTACCAGAATCGACTTCGTCGGTCTCAACTCAGTGCAATATTCTCATGTCATAAAATCTGTCAATCTTTCGCCACCAGTACTGGTCCCTAACCTGAGCTGGTGGTCGTTGTGGTGTCGGCGCGGGTCTGGCGCGGCGGTGCGGTCGGGCGGTGAGGTGGTGGAGCTGGGCGCGCGACTGTTGGGCGACGTGCACAGCGCGCGGCTGCTACTGCACTGCAACGCTGAACATGCCGCTTTCTTTGTGCTCACTGAAGACTCTTGGAACAGCTATTGTCTTGACGTGAGTAGTCTTATGTACTTCCGATTAGCTGCTTTACAACTGCATCTCAAGTGTTGAAGTGGCAATAGGCAGGCCACATCGCTCGAGGATCTGTCAACCGTTGGGTAAGAAAGGTCCTCGAGTGGCGACCACGTACCGGACGACGCAGCGTGGGGCGACCCCCAACAAGGTGGACTGACGACATCGTCAAATGTGCTGGGAGCCGCTGGATGCGGATAGCGCAGGACCGTGCATTGTGACGTTCTATGGGGGAGGCCTAGTCCAGCAGTGGACGGAGGAAGGCTGATGGATGGATGGAACTGCATCTATCATACCAAGTTCTTTATGCTTGCTACTGATGTGTAGTTTAGTTTTTCAGGGGGTTCCGCACTTAGTCCTAATTATTGGACCATTGTGCGGGTCTCAAAAACATTTACGTTTACTCCAGCCAGCGTATATAGGTCCAGAAGGAAAGCAGCGTTGGTAGACTGCTGCAAGCTACCGGAAACGATTCTGGCGACTGGAGAAGTCGTGTCCGTTAGTCGGCCACGCTCCTGCATTCCATGATGACATGCTGTGGCGTTTCTTCTGCTTCCATGCATCCTCTGCATAGGGGGCTGTCTGTTACTCCTATTGTATATAGGTGTTTGTTTAGGGGACAATGACCAGTCAGGGTAGGAACCCTGACCTAAACAATCATCTTGCGAAGTTTGTCCCTATTTAGTCTGGAATTGCTACTGATGAGCTTAGCTACAATTACAACGGGAGCGACCTGATTGTTGCTGCACTACAACGGGAAGACGTCGCGTTCTTTTTATTTACTGAAGATGCGAGGCTCATCTACTGTCTTGACGTGAGTGCTCTGATATGTTAAGGCCAGGCCTCCACCAAAGCATGTTGAGAAGAGATGTTTTTTAGGTCGGGGGACTCCACCAAAGCGGAGATGTATGCGGTGTGCTGTGTGCTATGCGAGAAGAGATGTTTTTCAGCTCGAGTGCGAGACCTTGAGTGCTCAGCGGGGCTCTGCAGGTTGCTGGTATCTCGTCTCCGATTTGGTGGAGTCCCGGCATAAAGCTTGGCGACTGCACTGCTGCGCCTGTCGTGTCGAGTTCTCAGCTCAGTTACTATTTCGACGGAAGTACCTTATGTGAATGAGTTGGGCTGCTACGCTATATGTGGCCATGACTTCAAGTTCTTCGTGCTCACCGAGAACGGTCAGCTTAGCTTCTGTCTTCGCGGTAGTGCTCTGATATGCTCAAGCTTAGCTACTGCTCTGCTGTGCCTGCGTACCGAGTTTTTTGTGCTTACGTGCTCAGTTTGATCATAGATATATGTAGATGAGAGCGACTTGATTGTTAAACTGAGCTGCTACAGTGGAGCAACGAAACTGAGCTGCTACGTTACGTTGCTTTCTTCGTGATTACCGAACAAGTTTGGCTTAGCTCCTGTCTTGATGTGAGTGCTCTGATCTTCTGGAGCTCCGATATATGTAGTACACATTTTCGTCATAGAAGTATTAACGAGTAAGTATGAAGCGAATTTAGTATAAAGCGAATGAAATAAGAAGCTGAAAAACCACTCACTATTGAAAAGCAACATAACCCAATAAACTGATATAACATCTACTTGTAAGAATATTTTGTCTTCAAATTTCCAGATAAAAATAAACGTAGGTAATTGAATGAGGCCATAATCCAACGTACATTTTACACAATTTTCTCGGTAGATCTCATTTTACTCAAAGCTCTTAGCACTGTCGCGGTCGCGTAGTACTTTAAATAAGAGACTCAATATAAGGTAAAGTACTTAGCTAGGTTTTCTTTTAGAATTTAATACGCAGCTGGCATTGAGTGAACATGTTTCAGAGGTTTAGCTCGGAAAATATAATCAAGGAATTCCAATTTTTTTTCTGACTTTTAGTAAAAGAATGCTGTGTATGAATGCGTATAGAAGTTTGACTGCGTTTTCTACTCCAAGTCCTCTAATGGTTATTTTAATAAAGTATGATTTCTCAAGAACTCAAAATTAAAATATATATGTATATATATAATGTTATTTTATGAACTAAATAAATTTAATTACGAAATAAAACAATTGTGTTGCTCAGAAATGAGAAACAACATTTATTGCTATTATTTCGTACAAGTTTTCGTGCACAAATATTATATTTTAGTTATTGATTGACAGATGTCAAATCCATATCTTTTTCTATGGTCACTCACTATTTTATCGTCTGTATTGAATGAAGGGTAATGAACCTCATTTACATTTATAATAATACTAGCTGACCCAGCGAACTTCGCACCGCCATAAAAAAATAGGGGTTGGTGGTAGAAAGTTGAAAATTTAGGGATGTATGTATTTTTGTTTGATGTATCATAAAAAAATTAAAAAAGAAAATATCTAAAATTGAAAAAAATATTTGGGGGGTGGATTACCCTTAACATTTAGGGGGATGAAAAATAGATGTTATCCGATTCTCAGATCTACCCAATATGCACACAAAATTTCATGAGAATCGGGAAAACCGTTTCGGAGGAGTTTAACCACAAACACCGCGACACGAGAATTTTATATACTAGATAATGAGAAGCATTCGTGTTTTCAAACATTACTTTACAACGTTATTATAGGGGTATTAAAACATGCATAAATTTAAATAACTGTTAAATTGATAAAAATCTAAAGTGTTGTCAAGTTTCGTTGGAGGGACTTCATAATATTTTCATATAAGTGTCTCGATGAAAGAAAGGAACCCTGGTATGAACAGTCAAGTGTCGGTAACAACTCGCAGCGCGATAATGAGGACTCTTTACAACTGTGTGGAGATGAGATGCAGGAGACTGCATGACTAACGCTTTTGTTCGAGAACTTCATTTTGTAAGACTGAAAACGAATGGCGAGCTTTAATTTTTTAGGTTCCCAATCTCAAGCGGCGATAGTGGAACCTTAACTTAAGGATCATTGGGTTTTTTGTTTGTATATCTTTCTGTTTGTCTGTCACAGCCGATTTGCTCGAAATCTATTGGACCGACTAACTTCTAATTTGGTACATAGGAACATGTACGTCTATGACACAAACAGAAACGAACAAAGTAAAAAAAAGGGTTGCACTCCGGGAGTGCCGGCAAAAGTGAAAACTTGAATATTAATGTTGTGCATTTTTGATATTTTCGAATGGTTAGGGAATAATTTTGCACCAATTGCTATAATTATCAATATAAAAGTACTATCATGTATGTGTTAGAATACAATATTTATTTATTGCGCTATCGTACACAAACACGATAATTTATATTACATTAAAAAAGTTTATCTCTCAGAAAAATCAACTTACATGAATCACGTTTAAGCGCACTTAGCGACATCTATTGTAAAGAAATCAACTTACATGAATCACATTTAAGCGCACCTAGCGACATCTATTGTAAAAAAATGCATTTTCTTCGCAATTTTTAAAGATGCCACGTGGACGTCCTAGATAGAAACTTATTATTATAATACGATAAAATAAAATATTACTATGTTTCGTCCAATATATTTGAAAGTCAACAAACTCTTCAATTTAATTGTGTGTCATGATGCGATCAGCCCATGTGTTTAACTTGACGCGAGTTTAACATTTTTACCCATACAAAAAAAAGTGTACAACGCCGCTAAAGAATTGAAACTTAGTTAACTGTAACGTGTTAAATCTAAAGAGAATTATACTAGAAAACAATTCCACGCGAACCAGGCAGCAAGCGGGACTCGAACCCACACTAATCCAGGCGGATGCACTTCTTCTTTTAAATTTGTCGTCTGTACACCTGTGCGAAGCAGCTTCAGAGCGGACTAGAAGATCGGCGCGACCAATGGACATGCTTATCGTAAAATTTATAACGCACAGTTGCAAACAGTCCTGTAGCAGTATGAAAGGCAGGGTAAGAGAAAAGCGCTCGACGGGTCTTCAAATGGTTTAAAATTATACTGATAATTAAAGAACAGAAGAGTAGGAACTTTGTACTGTAACGTCATCATCATCATCATCATCATCATCAGCCTACTAATGTCCCCACTGCTGGGGCACATCCCTATGGATGGAATAGGGAGATTGGGCCAAGACCCACCACGCGGGCCCAGTGCGAATTGGCGGGTGCTAACGACTGCAAATGCAGCCGGGACCAACGGCTTAACGTGTCTTCCGAAGCACGGAGGAGTTCAAATAGTGAATTTTCGGTCACCCATCCAATGACCGACCACTGAGAGCTTAACTTCAGCGATCGCAGCCGAACGCGCTAACCACTTGCGCCATCGAGCTCCTCACTGTAACGTGAATCGTCCTTTCGCACAGACGTTGACAAGCGACGGAGCAGTCGTATGCGGCGCGTTCACATTGAGCCCGGTGTGGTGGCGCGGTGGACGCGGGGAGGTGCGTGGCGGCGCGTGGTGCCGCGCCCCGCACGCCGGGCTGCATGCCGCCGCGTTCAGGATTGTCTGCTCCACCGCTGTAGCCCGACCTCTACACCTGCTGGCCGACGCCGTGCATTTCACTACGGAGCATATAACTCTTGAAGTAAGATTAGCTCTTAGCCAACTACAAATATGCATCATCGCATCGTCAGCTACGGCCTGCACGCTGACGCGCTGAGGATCGTCTCACTTAACGCTGTAGCCCGACCTCTGCACCTGCTGGCTGACTCCGTGCATTTCACTACGGAGCATATAACTCTTGAAGTAAGATTAGCTCTTAGCCAACTACAAATATGCATAATCTCATCATTAGCTCCGGCCTGCACGCTGACGCGCTGAGAATCGTCTCCCTTAACGCTGTAGCCCAATCTTTGCACCTGCTGACCGACGCCGTGCATTTCACTGCGGAGCATATAACTCTTGAAGTAAGATTAGCTCTTAGCCAACTACAAATAAAATAAATAAATATTTCCAACACTCACACCAATTAGCCTAGCCCCAAAGTAAGCACTATAGGCTTGTGTTATGCGATACTAGGGTAACGGATAGAATACATATATAAGAATATTCATATAGAAATATATATTAAACATCCATGACTGGAGTACAAATGCTCGTATTCATCTCACAAACATCTGCCCCCACCGGGAAACGAACCCGGGACCGCTCGAGTCGGCGACACCATGAAACCCGGCGTACAACCCACTCGGTCACGGAGGTCTTCGAGTATGCATCATCTCATCGTCAGCTACGGCCTGCACGCTGACGCGCTGAGCATCGTCTTCCTTAACGCTGTAACCCGACCTCTGCACCTGCTGGCCGACGCCGTGCATTTCACTACGGAGCATATAACTCTTGAAGTAAGATTAGCTCTTAGCCAACTACAAATATGCACCATCTCATCGTCAGCTACGGCCTGCACGCTGACGCGTTGAGGATCGTTTCCCTTAACGTTGTAGCCCGATCTTTGCAACTGCTGGCTGACGCGGTGCATTCCACGGAGCATATAACCCTTGAAGTATGATTAGCTCTTAGGCCGGAACTCCATCAAAGCAGAGATGTGTGCGGTATGCTGTGTGCTGTGCGAGAAGAGATGTTTTTCAGCTCGGGGGACTCCACCAAAGCGGAGATGTGGGAAGTGTGCTTTGTGTTATGCGAGAAGAGATATTTTTCAGCTCGGGTGCGAGGCGTTCAGTGCTCAGCGGGGCTCTGCGGGTTGCTGTTGGGTGAGAGGGGGGAGGGTGACACCGCTCACTGCGCCATACAAATATTACACAACTCTGCACAGCGATCTCCACTGAAGCTGAGCGGAGAGGAGATGTGCTAATAACACAATTCTATTAGTTGTTTAAAAAACATCTTCTCTCCGCTTGTCTCGTATCCGCTTTGGTGGAGTCGCGGCCTTAGCCATCTACAAATATGCATTATCTCATGTCAGCTATGACATGCACGCTGACGCGCTGAGGATCGTCACCTCTAACACTGTAGCTTAAACTCTGCACCTGATAGCCGACGCGGTGCATTCCACTACGGAGCATATAACCCTTGAAGTGTGATTAACTGTTGTCCATCTACAAATAGTTAGCGCTAGTGGCTCTATTCCTTCTACATGATAGAAGGAACAGAGCAGACGTAAATACTTTGCCATGAATGTTACACATAAAATGAATGGCAGTCCGACCTAGATGGCTCGTGGCTTGACCACGTTGTTAGGTTTTCACATCTCATGATAATATACGTATCGTAAACTTTATGTCCAGTCGCAACATAGTCACTTGTTTCTTTGTCACTATGTTAATAGCAGCTTTTTTATTACTCGCCTCAGAACAAGAATTAAAGCATATGAACAGTTGGAATTCAACTCATAAGGTCGACTCATAGTTATCTTATTTTCATAAATAGACCAGAAAAGAGACAGATTATACCATGCGTGCCACTATACAAACGTCAAATTGGATATCTTCGGTCTTTGTACGCCTTGGATACCTTGGTTATCTTTACGATACCGAATCAAAAAGCGATCTAATGTCATATGCAACCTGCCAAGACGCCACTTATGCTTTTTGGTTGGGTAAAGATCATAGCTCACCTTAACCACCCGACACCTGAGCAGCACTGCCTCAACTCGAGCGGTTTATTTTCTTTGTATGGATTTCAATGGAGATGCACTCACTACACCAACTCCGTACCGGCACGTCCTCACTTTTTTTTATTTTTTATTGGAGTTTACTCCTTAAGAATCGATTTGCATATATAAGGGGCCCGGTATGAGAAAAATGTGAGGAGTGAAATCTATCGATAAATGACCACGTCTTTACTGTCTACGCTGTAGCAGCCGTAGTGCTACACCGTACCACAGTATCGTAGCGTACCTTTATTTATGCACATCTGAAATTGACTATTGTAAAAAGTTTAATGTAAAATATTTCGTCGATTAGTTATAATAAATGTATATGAAATGAACAAATATATATTTATATATGTATATTATTTTCATTAATTTGTTAATTTACCCTTTCATACATTATCAATCTATTTTAAGTTAAATAAACTCTTTTTGCGTCTGGTTAGACTATCGAACTTATGAAGTAAACTCCAGTCGTGCGTCGGAGCTGACACACACAATTTTTATTTTTATTTTATTAACAAAGATTCACCAACATATAATTTTACATTACAATTTGAAAAAAATATATAAATACCATACTTAAAGATATGCTTTTTAATAGGTGAATACAGCATTCACATAAATACAAATTAACTACAATGACAGATTAAACAAACAAAAAAATATATCCACCATCATGAAAAACAGTCTGTGTTACGGTCCAATTTTATTTTTTCCACAAACAATCTCTTATATACGCCCTCAGTGTCGTGTAAAACGTCGACACTGCAGCCTTGTAAATCATTGTAGGTACGCATACACTGGTATAGAGGAGCACACTCACCAAGTCTAGTATTAAATAAAACTAGTTTTTACGGGTTAATGCACGAAACTTTATTTATTTATTGACGTTTCGTAGCCTTTACAGGCTTCGTCGTCAGAAAAAGAAGGTTTCTGACGACGAAGCCTGTAAAGGCTACGAAATGAGTGATGTGCGTGAAAACCTAAGAAACAAATAAGTCTAGTATTGTTACGAGGGAGATCAATGCTTTCTGACATCGGATGTCTAGGTATTCGATAAGGGACATTAATATTCACCTGTTTAATTAGATTTGGACAAATCAATTTTCCATGGATAAGCTTATGAAGTGATAGTCTGCGTCGGTCAGCCAATGGGAGTCATTTTGAAGTGAAGGAGACGAGTATTGTAATCAGCATCCCGGGGAAAATCGCCTCTACGATAAGCTAGGTAACGGGTAAATTTTCTCTGAACGCGTTCTATCCTATGGGAATGCACTTTATAGATGGGGTTCCATATGTTTGAAGCATACTGCAACTTACTCCGAACGAGAGCATTGAATATGGTTTTAAGGGTATCAATGCTCGCTTTGCTCGCTAGCTATCCGCGCACGCTCCACGTGTGCTGCTGGTGGTTGAAAGGCTTGCGACACCTTTAATTCAGGCGGTGGCGCTAAGTGCCAGTCGCTACACTACTACTAAAATAAAAACAGAACACAGCTTGCTGGTGACCCCGTGTTAGTGCAACATCTATATTTGGCGCTATTCTTGCTGCTTAGTTGGTGATGTAGGTCCAGAGTAATTACTTCAATAACAGATCAGGACCTGAAAGGCAATAAATATATATACTAAACACAAAGCCTACACCTAAACTTCACAAAATATGTACAATCATTGAAAACAAATATTTATCATATTTATATATATTTTATAGGTATGTACCATAACTTATTATCTTATATTTAGATATACGCCCCTTTTTATTTTTTGTTTTAAATAATAATTATAATTATACGCATATAAAAATCGTTTGGCATCCACTTGTCAGATAAAGGACCCAGTTGAAAACCAGCGCCAGTGCATACTGCACTGACATTATGCTGAACTGGGCCCTTTTCAGCGCAGCCGTGGATACGGAGTGGCCTCAGTCACTGTAAGATTTAACTACCTATAACAATTTTATCTGTATCCGTGTTCTGTACTGAATAAACGATTTTGTTTGTTTGTTTGTTTGCTATCTTAGGCGCCATATTGCCCTACATGACGTCACGTTTTAAATATGCCATGATACTTTGACATGTGTCAGACGTGTTGTGTGGTTGAGTGAAACAGCCAGTTGGACTTTTTGGCGGGATCGGGAAGCGTCACTTTAGCAGTTTTGTTTTTCTTGTTAAAAATTGTGTTGTGGCGGATGTTAGTGTCTTATAATGGTGGATTATTAACCACTAAGTGTTCGGGAACATGCACAAGTGTTGGCAAGTGAAACAAAATAGCGGAAAGTGCCTTTCGACGTTCCCTCAAGAAGTCCACGGTGAGGTTGCAGTAAATCCCCACACATTTACTGAAACACAGGGAAAGGGGTATTGACTTGACTGCCACTTACTTTGACTTGACTAATATTTGACCACGAGTGCTATAGGATATGTAAACATTTTACACTTGACATTGGCTTAATGCACAAACCGTGCGCAGCCATATAGATAAAAAAACCGCCAGTTTAGTTTTGTGTGTTCCTCGCTATTTGAGCTTGAGTTGAGTTATAAATTGAACCAAATCGTGGAGTCACTCGTCGACCACTGGTTGACAACGAGGCGTCCACCCGTGGCACACCCGACGTAAGCTAGTTGACAGCGCGGCGATGAGCTATGACCACGTATAACTTGCAGAAGTTTATGCAAGAAACGTTATTTATTTATTTGTATTCAAAAAAAAAGTTACAAATTTTATGCTAAGTCTGCCAAACTGCAACACAGTTTGTCGGCAGCAGTTCCCTTACAACTTAAAAAATAAAATAACCTATATATATATTTATTTTCTAACACTAAGCTGGTAGTTGATTATACTGTAATATGCAATTATGCAACACATACATTGCGTTCTATATTGCGACTGTGACTGCATTGCACTGCACACATTATATATGTTATTATATAAAAGATACATACCACAATAAACTATAACATAATATAAGCTATTGTAAACGGAAACGAGGTGGGTATCCAGCCCACCTCACCTCCGCTCACAACATCACAAGGATCATGGACAGAGGGACAGATAGTGTTTAGTGTTTTTTTAGTCTACACTTTAAACTATTTTTAGACAAAACATCTTTTTGCATTTGCATTTGCATTACTCCTATGCTTTAATTATTGTTCTTTTCTTTTTTTTTTTTTTTTTATTGGGTAATAGGTAAGCGCTTGACCATAATTCGCCTGATGGAAAGCAATATTATGGTCTACGATGGAGCGCGCTTACCTAATAAAAACCGGTTCACTCTTGCTTTGTTCTGAATTACTCACAGTCTTGCGTGAAGGTTATGAGAGATTATATTTAAGTAGTTGGTCTCATGATACGATGAATATGCTTGCTACTATGTCACTGATTGTTTGCACCACAGGCTCACGAGAAAGACTACGACATCTGCAGTGAAGACGACCCCGCCTGCGAATATTATGTTAACCTTGGTACCACTTTCCCGAACCGGTCGCTCTCCGCCACCATACAACTTGTCAATCACAGGTCAGCTAAAGAAGATAATAGTTCTGTAAAGAAGTCCAGATTTAAGTCCATCTCACCTCTAACACTACTCAAACCTATCATAACCTGACGACCTCCATGGTCGAGTGGTTTGTACGCCGGGTTTCATGGTGTCGCCGACTCGAGAGGTCCCGGGTTCAAATCCCGGTGGGGGCAGATGTTTGTGTGATGAATACGAGCATTTGTACTCCAGTCATGGATGTTTAATATGTATATCTACAAAAATATACTTATATATGTACAGTACATGTATTCTATCCGTTACCCTAGTATCCCATAACACAAGCCTTATAGTGCTTACTTTGGGGCTAGGCTAATTGGTGTGAGTGTTGGATATTTAAATATTTATTTGTTGGAAATAATTATTTATTATTTATTCATCATAAGTATGTCGGTTGAATGTAATACTTTTATTATCATCATCGGCCTATTAATGTTCCTACTGCAGAAGCACATGCCTTCCCAATGAATGGTCTGCGCCGTGACCCACCAAGTAGGCCCAGTGTGCATTGGTGGGTGCTAGCGACTGCGGCCATTGCAATAGTTGCTTAACTAACATGATCATGACCGAAAATGCTAACCACATGCGCCAAAGAGCTTTTTTTTAATATAGAGGTAGGCAAATGACTCTACCCCACCTGATGTTAAGCGGGGTAATAAAGTCCAAACGCGAAGATAGATGGTACAGCAGTTATAAACTGCTACACCAATCATCCTCACCTTGCCGGCCTGCAAAAATGCTTCTTCACGCCTCTCTTAAAGCTCCTCAAATATGGTAAAAGGAAATTAATAAGTTTCAGGATGGTAAGATGAAGATAGCTGTTGCGGAATGCATTGACATAGCCCTACGCATCATAAGTACTTTAGACATGCTACTCATTAGCTTAAAGAGAGTGCTGATATAAACCTCCATCATATAGGACAGCACTGTAAAATAAAAGTTCCTTTTACTGACGTTGCCGCCTCGGCTTTAACAATGATGGATTCTAAACCTAGCAGCTACAACTGGACTCCACTTATACTCAACATTGAGTACACATACATAAAAGACAGGTAGCGCACAGCGACGAATGGCTATTACTAGGTCTGCTATGGATAAGCTGAAAAAAGTCTGGAAGAATCGCAATCTTACCAAAGCCACAAAAACGAGACTTGTCCGGGTACTGATATTCCCCATTTTTCTGTACGCTGCCGAGACGTGGACGCTGAGAGAAATTGAGAAAAAGAAAATAGATGCACTAGAGATGTGGTGCTGGAGAAAAATGCTTGGAGTAAAGTGGACAGAGTTTCGCACCAATGCATCTATTCTCCAAGAACTCAGTGTCAAACAGCGTCTAACAAACGTAGTCCAGACTCGAATACTACAGTTCTTTGGGCACGTTTCACGACGGGACAACACGTCCATAGAGCGTCTTGTAGTACAGGGGAAGGTCGAAGGCACGAGGGCACGTGGCAGGTCGCCCATGCGCTGGACCGACCAGATCAAATCGGCAGTAGGCGGCCCAGCGCACGAGAGCACACGTAGCACAACCGACAGGGAAGGATGGCGTCGCATCGTGAAGAGGATTATGGCTGCCCGGAACCTGACCGCTACCTGATGACCACGACCGCTCTGTCAAGAGTGAATCGGCAAAGAACAAAAGAAGAAGCGCACAGCAGATTGTCCGCTCGGATTGGCACGCCCGCCTGGGGAAGCAACCTCCGTCTTACATAAGAATACATTAAATGATACTAGCTTTTGTTCTTGTTGAATTTCTGCTGGTGGATAGGGTTCTAGGGCTCCGCGAGATAGGGGATTGGGTTCAGGCCGGGGCGGTAAGGATGGCTAGAGCGACACACCTTCTGCCGCACTATCTACCTTCGCGACTAATAATAATAATAATTTATTTATTTCTCTCCACAAACATCAAACGGATCATAGTAAACATAGGTTATTAATATAAATACACTAGTAAACCAGGCGAACTCCGTTTCGCCACCAGATAGATGGCTTCGTTTGGTGCTTAAAAGAAGATTTTTTTTATAATTTTTCTTGAATTTTCTTTGCTATAAACCCCACGGAGCCCGAGACCTTTCCAACGAATGCAAAACCGTGGAAATCGGTTCGTGCGTTCTGGAGTTATAGCGTCAGGAAGGAAAACCCGACTTATTTTTATATAGTAGATTAACGTGTCTGTGGGAGACTGGAGTCTAAACTAGGCATTAGTCTACCTGTATTTCAGAGCTCCAGGCCTCCAACCCTCGATACAATTTTAAAACACTCCATAAAAACCTAATAGGTATATGTATATTTTTATTTATGGTAGAAGCAAATTTAATATAGAAATCATAAAACTGTGCATGTGTGTGTGATAGTGTGTTTATGTTTGTATGTGTGTGTTTGTGCGTTAAATTTTTAACTTACTTACTTTACTTTAACTTACAAAAAGTTTTTCAGTTTCATCATATGATTTGCTGAGGAGCCATTGTGTTATTATCTTTTTAATTTCATATTTACTTTTGGGATATATATTAAATTTTTATTAGCACAATTGTATATTTTTTTCCCTATCATGTAAAAAAAACTATTAGCAAACAAGGTGCGTGAACTTTCAACTATACATACATTTAAGTGTCTTCTGGATGTTGTGGTAAGCGGTGTATAATTTATGTTAGCGTGTTGCTTAAGAATACTCAAAAGAACATACAATTGCCTAACCGTCAAGACTTCAGCATCTTGATATAGAGTTGTAGTTGAATAAAGTCTAGGTTTAAATAAGCATATCTTTAAGATCTGTCTCTGTGCTCTTTCGAGCTCGATTAGTTTTGACTTTGCTGCTCCACCCCATGATGTTAAGAAATATGATATCACAGACTGTGCTAAGGCTATGTAAACAGATTTCATGGTCTTTCTATCTGCTACATGTCTTAATTGCTTGAATACAAATACAAGTTTTCTTAATCTCTGCGAAATGTTATGTATGTGTTCTGTAAAGTTAAAATTTTTGTCTATTGTTACGCCGAGATATTTCATCTGCGCTGTAATGTTTATAATTGGGCATTGACATGTTGTTAAAGGTGCGATTGAACATTTATGAGCGAATAACTTTAGATTTAAAGAAAGACTGGATGGACTAAGTAAATCAAAAACTTACATTTAAGATCAGGTGGAGCGGGGTATTTGATTTAATCTATATCAACAAAATATCATGTAAGTGCTAATGCCATAAGATATAAATATGACCAAATATAAGATCAAAATATAGAATACAACCAGGAAATTCCCTTATTGCGGCGGATCCTTAGAGTGCATAAAATAATACTAAAATCTTTAACGTTGTCTACGGAAAAGGCATCGCGTTGCTCTCAACGAATTTAAACTAAATGGGAACTGCACAAATGGCACCGAGTTTACTACAAGCGATGCAAACAATTCTTTATTATCTACTATTATTCTGTTTCTTTGTATCAAACGGCTTAATCTACGAGGCAACGAATTGCGAGTGTAAAATTGTTTTGCGCTGGGCGAAAAGCTCGCTTATTGCAATTGTTTCTGTTTGGCACACGTAGTTTGCTCTAATATGCAATTCATACTTCATAATGCTCACATTTCGAGAAGCTCGATGGCGCAAGTGGTTAGCACGTTCGGCTGCGATCGTTGAACTTAAGCAACTTTCGCAGTGGTCGGTCATTGGATGAGTGACCAAAAATTACTATCTCGAACTCCTCCGTGCTTCGGAAGGCACGTTAAGCCGTTGGTCCCGGCTACATCTGCAGTCGTTAACACCCACTAATCCGCACTGGGCCCGCGTGGTGGGTCTAGGCCCAATCTCCCTATTCCATCCATAGGGAAGGCCTGTGCCTCAGCAGTGGGGACATTAATAGGCTGATGATGATTATGAATGCTCACGTTTATAATAAAAAAAAAATCTATAATAATCGCGTCCTAATAACTATTCTAAATTTTTCTTTCAAAATGAGATTAGGAGATTAAGGCTAGGAAAATTTCGACGCGGCCAATAGAGCCGTGGTAGCATAATGGTCAGTGCATTCGCCCGGATTGCGAAGGGTGCGGATTCGAGTCCCGTCCGCTGCCTGGTCCGCGTGGATTTTTTTCTAGTAAACTTTTCTTTAGATTTAAACATCTAGCAGTTAAATGCTTAAAAATAAACAAAAACATAATTAGGAGATTTTCTTGATGTTTTTGTGGTACCCATAGTGCAACTGAGAGCCTCGGGTGTTGGAATTCTTACTTGCTTACTGTAGCCACTATTTCAATACGTACAAAGAAATTTGGTGACTCATTTCTTTGTCGCACTATCTGTATATACAACTAGCAAACCAGTGAACCAAATGTTCACCAAAACCTGATTTCTCGAAAACCGGAAGTGCTACGTTACTCAAATCCGGTTTGTAGTCTTATCAGACTATTCTTAACTTATAACTTAAACATTCTCTTTATCTATCTCTTACGGTTTAGCCGCTGAAATAGCACCACAGACAGACGGACGGACGGACGGACGGACGGACTTGACTAATAGATAAGAGATGCTTTGCCCGTTCCCGAGCTCCCTCTCTCCTACGACCCGAGATCCTTCAAAAAAGGCGTGAAAAAGCTACTTGCAGTCCCGCAAGGTAAGGATGGCTGGTGTGGCAGGTAACACTGCTGTACCAGCTATCTTCGCATTTGGATTACACCGCCACTTAATATAGATAGATAGACAGATAAAACTTTATTCACACCAATATGCACACATACAAAATTGAAGACCAATTTTACAATTATATAAATCCTTTAAAACATACAACAAATTATATTTATACAACTATACTGATAGGAGCTAGATGGTGCAAGTGGTTAGCGCGGCTTCGGTCGGCTGCGGTCGTTGAAGTTAAGCAACTTTCGCAGTGATCGGTCATTGGATGGGTGACCAAAAATTTACTATCTCGAGCTCCTCCGTGCTTCCTAAGGCACGTTAAGTCGTTGGTCCCGGCTGCATCTGCAGTCTTTAGCACCCACCAATCCGCACTGGGCCCGCGTGGTGGGTCATGGCCCAATCTCCCTATTACATTCATAGGGAAGGTCTGTGTCCCAGCAGTGGGGACATTAATAGGCTGATGATGATACTGATATTTTCGTGTGCAGCAGCGATGCGAATGGGCGAAAACTCAGCGTAACATTTACTCCGAGAGTAAATCGCTGATTTTCAGTTCTGACCCATATAGATGAGGTCACGCAATCAAAATATCAGGTTGGGAGGAGTCATTTAAAATATTCTGTACTAGGAAACTGCTGACTATAAAACCTACTACATACACATTATGGTTTAGTAAAATTTTCTTTAGGTTAATAAATCGAGCAGATTAATTCTTAAAATCTAACAGTATGAAAAACAGTGTACTAATATTGGCATGTGTATTTAACATAAATATTGGGAGCGATTTCGCCACTCTGACAAGAAAAGTATTTAATAATACTACAAAAACTATGAAGTAGAAAAACAATTTTTTGATCTATTCTCACGTGACCGAAAATGCCTAGGATTGGCGGAGTCTAAAATTACGTCACCTGCTTGTAAAAATACTTTCTAAATTACATTACTTTGCACTCTTTGACGTCGTAATGAGAGCCGTGTGACGTCACCAGCCTGCTTGTAAATACGCCAAATTTGCTAGAGGAATATTGCCGCGGCATATTTTTACCCGACTGCGCAATGCAAGAGCGCGAAGCGCAGACAGGGTATAGTGTTTAACAGTCTATATATGTATGTTTGTTCCTTTATGGCACACTAGAGACCAAACGCCTGGACCGATTTTGATGATTCATACATCAATCGACTCGTCTCAATCATGGGAGTGTTACTAAAGATATGATAGTAATCAAAATTCAATATGGACAAAATTAGGCGCCATATTGTGACGAAGTAAAAAAAATAAGTTGACAAAATGTCGAGTTTATTATTGAAAAATATTATGTATTCTTGAATATCTAATGGGTCCCGATTGTTAAAGTAGCTTTGTTCCCAGAATTATAGACTACTGGACTTGTTTTTTTCTTTTCAGTTTTTATTTGAAGTATAATTAAGCAGTCGGGTTTTTTGATTTTTTAAATTTACTCGTACCTTTTTTTATTTTCGTTTTCTTGCTGATATACGCAACAGAATTTTAAATGTCCAATATACGCGTCACTTCGCACTAATAAATAAAGTATGAACGTTTACAAAAACCTGTCAGATAGCTTAATACATATTTGTGTTTATCTGCAGCCCAGTAATATATTCTTACTACTGGAGTGTGCGGCCTTGGGGCGTGTGCTCGTGTTGGGAGTACGGGCAAGATGCACAAGGTTCCGGGCCTTCTGATGATGACAGCGAACGCCTATGCATCGGAGCAGCAGAAGCACGAAAGAAGGTAGCTTCAATTCAGCGGACATATCAATATTAGTCCAACTACTTATAGCCCGTAGTTAGTGTCAAAGTCATTGGATACAGCCACATCTATCTATATATATAAAACTCAAAGGTGACTGACTGACGTAGTGATCTACCAACGCACAGCCCAAACCACTGGACGGATCGGGCTGAAATTTGGCATGCAGGTAGATGTTATGACGTAGGCATCCGCTAAGAAAGGATTTTGATCAATTCTACCCCCAAGGGGATAAAATAGGGAATGAAAGTTTGTATGAAACTTTGTCAATTTTAAACCGATCGGGCTGAGACTTTGCATGCAGGTATAAGAAAAATCATAGATGAATGTCATTGTGTATAATACAAGCCTGAGAACAAAAACTGTAGTCTACACTTCAGCTCTACACCGAAGCGAAGCGAGGGCGGGCCACTAGTGGAACATAAGTATAATGATATATGCGTTATAGTTACATTTTTAACCAAATTTGACCAGTTAAATGATTCGGCACACATACACACCAATCGTGCACAATCTAAGAAATAAATACTTATCGCTACTCCATACCTGATTTAGTTATGTTCAATACTTTTTTGTTTTATTATTGTTTAAATTTTTTTAATTGCTTTTTAATTTGTAGAATAGAGATGATGACGGGGTACAGTAAACGAAATTCTATTTAGTCCGTCAGTTAGATGATCAAAAAATAATGGACACGTATTTTTTCTTTGGGCAATCAACCAAAAAATGGCAAAGTTATAGCGCGTCAAAGTTTGGGAGTAGGGGCTCGTGACGTCACTTCTGAGTGAATTTTCTCTTATAAGTGTACTCAAACGTGACGTCACGCGACTTTTCAAATCAACATATCTTTGCAATGTTAATATTATGTGAAAAAAGAAAAAATACGTGTCCAATACTTTTTGATAATCTACCTGATAAACGAAGAAAAAAAAATAGTCATGATCCCTATTCTCAGTCACGACTTTTATGTACGTACTTACCTATAGTTATAAGTACCTTTCTGCGGGTCTAATGAGCTGTGGCAAAGGTTTTTAAAAACTATTTTAGGCACCAGTCCTTCACAAACTTACGAGTAGGTTTACTATATACACACATATAACCTATTGTAATATTATGTAACAGGCTGTGAAGTGAATAATTAATACATTATTATTATTCATTACTCCATTCCATTATTATTTGACGACCTCCGTGGCCGAGTGGTTTGTACGCCGAGTTTCATGGTGTCGCCGACTCGAGAGTTCCCGGGATCGAATCCCGGTGGAGGCAGATGTTTGTGTGATGAATACGAGCATTTGTACTCCAGTCATGGATGTTTAATATGTATTTCTATATAAATATACTTATATATGTATTCTATCCGTTACCCTAGTATCCCATAACACAAGCCTTATAGTGCTTACTTTGGGGCTAGGCTAATTGGTGTGAGTGTTGGAAACATTTATATTATACTAGCTATCCCAGCGAACTTCGTACCGCCATAAAAACATAGGGGTTGGTGGTAGAAGGGTGAAAATTTAGGGTTGTATGTATTTTTGTATGATGTATCATAAAAAAATAAAAATAAAATATCTAAAATTGAAAAAAAAATTTAGGGGTGGATTACCCTTAACGTTTAGGGGGATGAAAAATAGATGTTGTCCGATTCTCAGACCTACCCAATATGCACACAAAATTTCATGAGAATCGGGAAAGCCGTTTCGGAGGAGTTTAACCACAAACACCGCGACACGAGAATTTTATATATAAGATTTATATTATGTTGTTATCTCCAGGGTAGACCAGCGGTCACAGGCCAAGTGCTGCCGAGCGTGGAGCCAGGACATGGGCGGGTGGCGGCGCGGTGTTCATGCGCGTTGCACGTGTGCGTGCCCGACGCTGGCACGAGGCTCGGAATCCAGCGCGCTGTACTCATGTAACTTGAACCTTGAACTTCTATAGCGACTATTTTTCTTCGAACACATACTTCCTTACATACACATACACCTTCAAAAAGTTTGTGAGTGTATGTTTGTTAGTTCTTCACGTCTTAACGGCTGGAGCGATTTCAATAGATCGAGAATGTATTTCACACCGGCCCACCGACTGCAACTTTATAAGGCACAGGTTCGGCCTCACATGGAGTACTGCTCTCATCTTTGGGCGGGGGCACCCCAGTACCAGCTTCTCCCTTTAGTTAGCATCCAGCGCCGAGCGGCTCGAATCGTCGACGACCAGGACCTTTCCGATCAGCTTGGTCCTTTGGCTTTGCATAGGGATGTAGCTTCGCTCTGCATCTTCTATCGCATTTTTCACGGGGAGTATTCTGAGGAATTGTTCGGATTAATTCCAGCTGCTGCATTTCGCCATCGTACATCGCGACAAAAATTTCATCCCCATCATCTTGATGCGTGGCTATCCACAACCGTGCGTTTTTGTCGAAATTTTTTACCACGTACGACAAAACTGTGGAATATATTTTCGCCAGCAGTGTTTCCGGACCAATACGACCCAAAAACCTTCAAAGAAGGTTCAAGAAAAAAGAGCATACTCCTTCCTTAAAGGCCGGCATCGCATTTGTGATACTCCTGGTGTTGCAAGTGTCCATGGGCGACGGTGATCACTTACCGTCAGGTGAGCCGTCTGCTCGTATGCCCCCTATAACATAAAAAAAAACCCTCTGAAAAATGTCCTCCGTAGCATAGAACTAATGGTAGCCATACACACTACGAGAAATCGTTACGATCAGACTGTACAGTTCGAACGGTACCGATAAATCGTAGCGTGTATGTTATAAAACTGCACAGTTTCCTATACGTACGCCATGTACGATAAACTGTTCCGTTCGAACTGTACAGTCTGATCGTAACGATTTCTCGTAGTGTGTATGGCTACCATAAGATCGTGCTGGGATCCAGTAGAGAACATGTAGTTCGTCAAGACAGATTTGGGGTTAGGATGGTTTTCACTTTTCGACGCGTTTGTTACTATGTTGCGCGTTTGAGTTTATATCATCATCATCATCATCAACAGCCTATCCTAGTCCACTGCTGGACATAGACCTGTCCAATTGCACGCCACTCAGATCGATCTTGGGCTACTCGCATCCAGCTCCTGCCAGCCACCTTGCGCAAATCGTCACTCCATCGCGCCTGAGGACGTCCTACACTACGTTTGCCTAGACGCAGTCTCCACTCCAGAACTCGTCTACCCCAACGGTTACCGGTTCTTCGGCAAATATGGCCAGCCCCCTGCCACTTCAACTTGCTAATCCTTTGAGTTTATATACTCGACTGAATCCCTTTGTACTGTAAAGTATGGTATGTGAACGTTTGACATAAAAGGCGCTTAAGACCTAACTAGTAACTTCATTCAATAAGCTCGGCGATAACGTTCCTTAAACATTTTTGTAATTGTACCTAAGCGTTAACTTTTTTATCTTTGGCATAACGCAGGTTGATTCTGAAAGACATCCCGAAGGAGAGTTTTCCGCCAAACTTGGATCCTATGATAGTCAAAACCGAAATGGTGGTGGCAGATCCAATTCCTGGACACGAGGTAAGCATATGATCTGGGTTATTGTATTTTTATCATTTAACTGCTAGATTTAAAAATCAAAAGAAAATAGCTATTTACCTATTAGGAAAAAAAAACAGTCGGTCCAGTTTTCAGACAGGAATCGAACCCGCATCTTCCGCAGTCCGGGTGATCGCACTTACCAGTTCAGCTACTAAGACCTTAATGGCCGTGTCGAATGTCTTCTAATATTACTAAGTCTAGAAGGCAGCTCCGTATCTTTGCATTGTAAATATAAGTCGCGGCACGAATCTAGCGCCGACCGTTATTGCGCAGAAGTAAAAATTAAGATGTGTTGGGGGGAAACGAGGTGCGCGGGGGGGCGTGCGTTGCGCCGATTGGCTCTCCAGTCGTACCCATGCACAGATATCCCTGACGCGTTTTGTACAGCGCTAGATTTACGTGTCGCGACCTGTAAACCACTTGGTAACTTTTGTCTAGTAACGATTTTATTTAGATTTACCTATATAATCTGTTTTGTCAAAATATAACAAACATAATAATATATTGTTAAGCTCTTGACTTAAGTTTCTTTGTATAACAAGGGGTGATCCGCCCTGTCTTTGGATAGGAAAAAAAAAGTTTTTTAATTCCTAAATGACATTTAGAAATAATGTTGTTTTCTCATATAGAAATTAGGAATTTGCAAAATTGGTACAATAGCTTCAGAATTTACTTCTTTTATAAACAAACTTTACCTCTTTGTGGTGTAAGTATTTACTATAGATTGCTTTCTTTTAATATTTATAAGTCTAAATAACCATTTCCACACGAAATTCGCTGAACTTAACGGCAAGCTAAGTTGGAAATGTGATAACAATTGTACCCCATAGTTTCCAAGGTCATGTCTACAACAGCTCAACAGAGTGGACGAATACAAAAAAGCATCATCATCATGATCAGCCTATTAATGTCCCCACTGCTGAGGCACAGGCCTTCGCTATGGATGGAGTAGGGAGATTGGGCCATGACCCACCACGCGGGCCCAGTGCGGATTGGTGAGTATTCATGACTGTAGATGCAGCCGGGACCAACGGCTTAACGTGCCTTCCGAAGCACGAAAGTGCTCGTGATAATAAATATTTGTGTTCGGCTGCCATCGTTAAAGTTAAGTAACTCTGGCAGTGGTCTGTCATTGGATGGATGACCAAAAATCTTCTATCTCGAGTTGCTCCGTATGGAAGGCACGTTAAGCCGTTGGTCGCGGCTGCATCTGCAGTCATTAGCACCCGCCAATCCGCACTGGGCCCGCGTGGTGGGTCATAGCCCAATCTCCCTATTCCAGCCATAGGGAAGGCTTGTGCCCCAGCTGTGGGGGCATTAATAGGCTGATGATAATGATGAAATACAGAGGCCAACAATTGGTACTATAGTTTTAATACTTTTTTTTAGACACACCAATTAGTCTAGCCCCAAAGTAAGCACTGTAAGGCTTGTGTTATGGGATGCTAGGGTAACGGTAACGGTAATAAGTATATTTATATAGAAATACATATTAAACATCCATGACTGGAGTACAAATGCTCGTATTTATCACACAAACATCTGCCACCACCGGGATTCGAACCGGGGACCTCTCGAGTCGTCGTCGGCGACACCATGACACCCGGCGTACAAATCCGCCACGGAGGTCGTCAAACTATTAAAAATAGCCTGTCTTAAACATTCCACATTTTCATATTTCGGTGTAGAGCTGTAGTTTACTACTATATTTTTGTTCTCAAGCTTCTATTAAACACAATGACTTTCTTTAAATACCTAATTACTAAAGACACGCGCCGCCGCCGGCCCCCGGCCAGTACCGCTCAAACCGGTATGTTCCTGCATTTTAAATCTGTAATATCTTCGAAAATATTCATTTAAATTACATGTTGTAAAGGGCCATATTGATCTATATTACACGCACAATGTATTTAAGGTACTTAATTGGATAAGGATTAATGCTGTATTGCTTAAAATCGCTTGTTCGTAAATAAGCCATTATTTTCTCGTAATAAGTAATTAAAAAATGGTTATTGTGGGTTATACCAAAGAGATAGGCATATACCATCGGGGACTTTTTTGTAGACCTTTTTAAGGTGTACAATACTGTAGTACATTATTTTGAGCTATCTCGTTGGGTTCAGCCAGCGTTTGCAATGTAAGCGCAAAAAAATGTGTTTATTTACGACCTTACATTAGAAACCTCTAAAATTATTCTCAGTGTTTCTCTACTATATTATGCATGTATTATACATATAAACCTTCCTCTTGAATCACTCTATCTATTCAAAGAAACCGCATCAAAATCCGTTGCGTAGTTTCAAAGATCTAAGCATACAAAGGGACATAGGGACAGAGAAAGCGACTTTGTTTTATACTATGTAGTGATATGGTTGCACTGAGACATTGTTCTCCGGTATTTATTTATTTATTTATACTTAATGCACAAGTGTACAAAGGCGGACTTAATGCCATAGGCATTCTCTACCAGTCAACCATAGGATGTTGTGGATAAATAGTTGTAGGGTGCACAACTTACGTGGAAATTTACAGAAAGAACATATATAAATATGAAGCAGTCATATATATAATCACATACATAAATAATTACTAACATATAAATAACTATACATATACATACATACACATATAAATATATATACTAATACATATTAATGACGACTAACGTTTAAGCTAGACTGCTTGTTCCTGTAAAAAGCTTCGTAGCTTGGTTTTGAAGCTAATTTTGTTGGTGGACATTCTAATATCATCTAATATTATTTATGTTCTATCTACGAGCAAGATAGCGATAATCTTATGTGATAATAAATAATCTTATCTAAGTTCTCTGTTCTTCGTTCTAAACACATAATTCTGACAGGTCTTTGTAGTCTGCTGATAGATTCATATCTTTGTATTATTCTAATAATCTTAGCTTATACCAAAGTCGGTGGTTTTGTTTGTTTGATGCTCATCCTTAAAGCTTCACAATGAATTTTTTTACAATAGCGATGTTGACTGACTTTGTTTCTTCTTGTATTAGGTAGATTATCAAGAAGTATTGGATGCGTATTTTTTTTATTTTTTCACATAATCATAACATTGCAGACATTTATATTGATTTGAAATGTCGCGTGACGTCACTTTTTGGTACAATCTATATATATAAAACTCAAAGGTGACTGACTGACATAGTGATCTATCAACGTACAGCCCAAACCACTGGACGGATTGGGCTGAAATTTGGCATGCAGTATTTTGGAGTAAACTCCTCAAAGTTAAAAAATATAGGTCTCTCCATCGCTCGTTGTACGACTTCGAGCCTTCTTTCATTATCAGGTCCATTGTCACGTCATTACATTTATCAGTTCATATTGCTCAGTCACTCAGCAATAATTGTTCCGGTTAAACATTGAGTAGGTACAAATATGATTCCAACATAGGTTTGTTATCTCCCGTTATGAGGTCACAATAGTCCATTAATCATTTTTCGGACCATTAACGTCGGGTTCTAGGCTGTAGGGGCTTAATTATTATCAGGCTTGTTGAGAACTATTCATGTCATTCTATCATGCTCTAGGTATACTAGTATACCAGTTATTAATAAGATTCTTCGCTATCTTGCAATTTTTATTTGATTTACTGTTAACATTTAAGAATGATTAGTAAAAATGTATACCTCGGGCAGACATTGCAGTTAGGTGGAAACAACTTTGAGGGCAAGGTGAATAGAAGAGTTCAGCTAGGTTGGGCAGCGTTTGGGAAGCTACGTCAAGTCCTGACATCGTCGATCCCATAATGCCTAAAGACGAAAGTCTTCAATCAATGCGTCCTACCTGTGATGACATATGGAGCCGAGACGTGGACGCTATGGAAAGGGCTATGCTCGGCGATTCTCTGAAGGATCGCATCAGAAATGAGGTAATCCGACAGAGAACCAGAGTTATCGACATAGCCCACCGGATTAGCAAGTTGAAGTGGCAGTGGGCTGGCCATATTTGCCGAAGAACCGATAAACGTTGGGGTAGACGAGTTCTGGAGTGGAGACCGCGTCTAGGCAAACGTAGTGCAGGACGTCCTCAGGCACGATGGAGTGACGATTTGCGCAAGGTGGCTGGCAGGAGCTGGATGCGAGTAGCCCAAGATCGATCTGAGTGGCGTGCATTTGGAGAGGCCTATGTCCAGCAGTGGACTATAATGGGCTGTTGATGATGATGATGATGAGTAAAAATTCAGAGAGGTGTTTAACGTGGTGGTGTGATTACGGGTGGTTGCTCACAATAGAGTATTTGATAAGTTTAAGAAAACGATCTCACGTTATTTACTAATGTTTATGAAGTTCATATAAACGGGCTATTTCAATTTTGCTGTGTAATTCAATAAAAATAAACTAAATAAAATATTCAATTTTCAATTTGCCTCGAAAACGTTTCTCTGGACATTATGACGTCTCACTAGTGTGTGACGTAACACGACTGTCATTAAAACATCAAACGATACAATGTAATGTCACTTTGTCCGCAAGTGTACTAGCGTGTGATGTCATTTTAATATTGGCCAATCCCAGGCGTGTTCGATCACGTGACCATGGAGCAAATAAAATATTTCTATTTAATGATTTTAAAGAATATTTATGAATTTTTTGATCTTTCAGAATAGTAAAATAGCTGCTAACTAGCAAACCAGTGAACCAAATGTTCACTAAAACCTGATTTCTCGAAAACCGGAAGTGCTACGTTACTCAAATCCGGTTTGTAGTCTTATCAGACTATTCTTAACTTATAACTTAAATATTCTCTTTATCTATCTCTTACGGTTTGGCCGCTGAAACAGCACCACAGACGGACGGACTTGTGTAATAGATAAGAGATATTCATATTAAATACAGATGCCAACAATTGGTACATTATTTTTCATACTGTCATGTAGTCTATTTATGAGAAAACATTATTGTACCCACCAACCTCAAATTAATTGGGAACAGGGCATAGAAATAATATAACTTTTTCGTTAGGTACGTCTCCCACAGCCAGCGATGAACGAGAAGCGTGTAGAGCTAAAAACTAGAAACAAGTTGGCCAGCGAAATATAAACACATATAAACACTCGAAGCGAGTGTTTATATGTGTTTATATTCTGACTAGCGGCCCGCCTTCAGTTCGCTTCGGTGTAGAGCTGAAGTGTAGGCTACAGTTTTTGTTCTCAGGCTTGGATTATACACAATGACATTCATCAATGATTCTTCTTATACCTGCATGCAAAGTCTCAGCCCGATCGGTTTAAAATTGACAAAGTTTCATACAAATTTTCATTCCCTATTTTATCCCCTTGGGGATAGAATTGATCAAAATCCTTTCTTAGCGGATGCCTACGTCATAACATCTACCTGCATACCAAATTTCAGCCCGATCCGTCCAGTGCTTTGGGCTGTGCGTTAATAGATCACTATGTCAGTCAGTCACCTTTGAGTTATATTATATATATATATATATATATATATATATAGATAGTTATATCGCTGGACTATAAGCAAATGTGACGGGCGATTATTCATAACACTCGCTCGCGCGGACAATCCTCAGCAAATGCACGCACACATGTTTTGAGACAGCTGAGAATCGCCGAGCCAGCATCGCCGGGCTAGCATCGCTGAGCGATATTATCTTTGATTGATCTTGTCGCTCAGCGACTGTGAACAGTCAGTGATCAAGTATTATTAATATATGCTTCTCTTTTGTTTACAAGGAATATATCCGATTTTATCGGCCTAAGCACGTTTTAGAACACCTCGACTACGAAATCACCAACGCCAACGCGCCTCCAATTCCTCCCATACCGGCCACAAACTAGCTAAGCGTTTGATAGACACCGCACCCATAGGATAAGAGTGCGAAGACCCGCTCAACACACGACACGCTATACCGGATACAGATATTTCCCCCCACGACAACGGTTAACTAGAGCCGAGGTTCGAGTTTCAGAGACATCCTCTAGTTGAGCCAACTCCCTCAGGTTCGAGTGGTCTGGAGGTTACAGATGGAGAGGAGACTCCCCCCGTGGGGCGATGCCATCCGCCTGGAATACCTCTGAGGCACTCGCCAATTCTCGTCTTGAGGTCCCTTTAGGATCTCGCCGTCCCCAAACCCGGTGACGCTGTAAAGGTCATCTGTGACCAACAGCATACAATGCATTAAAAAGGAATGCATATTTTCAATTTTCAATTTCAATTCATTTATTTCAGCCATTTAGCCATATTAATTACATAAAAACAAGAATAATTAAAAAAATATACAGAATAATATATATATATATTGTACTTCTCTTGAGCGAGAAAATAGCCGATAGTTAGTCGCTTCCTCGCTAGAGGACAACTGCCTTAAGTTTACTTTTAATTTCAATAATAAATTCTAATAAGCACTAGAAACAATATCTTATTTTAATTAAAAAGAAAACTCATTAATCTGTGCTTCATTTTCATTAGGACGGACGTAAACTAATCTCATTTTTGTTATAAATTGAAAGCTCTTTTTAATTAAAGATAATGTTTCAAACATTTCAAATCTGGTTTTCATGATGCTACTTGAATTTATTGTAATCTGTTATAATTTTAAGATTGAAATATGAGCACTTTTGTCGCACGTTTAATAACTAGTCCAAATTGAATTACTTAAAAGTGAAGAATTTTAAATGGCTTTTATTCAAAACTTTATTATTTAACTAGCGGCCCGCCCTCGCTTCGCTTTGGTGTAGAGCTGATGTGTAGACTACAGTTTTTGTTCTCAGGCTTGTATTATACACAATGACATTCATCTTATGATTCTTCTTATACCTGCATGCAAAGTCTCAGCCCGATCGGTTTAAAATTGACAAAGTTTCATACAAACTTTCATACCCTATTTTATCCCCTTGGGGAAAGAATTGATCAAAATCCTTTCTTAGCGGATGCCTACGTCATAACATCTACCTGCATGGCAAATTTCAGCCCGATCCGTCCAGTGGTTTGGGCTGTGCGTTGATAGATCTCTATGTCAGTCAGTCACTTGAGATACAGAAAAAATTTAGTGGTTGACAAATTAAGGGCTACATAGGAATAAAGAGATTAGGCCATAACTCGCCACGCGCGCCCAGTGCGGATTGGTGGGTGATCCCACCCACATTTACATTCGTAAATACTTTTAACTTTGTTCAAACCAAGAGTTCCACGAAAATCACGCATTTTTTTATTATAAGGCGATTCTTAACGCCCACTTTTTATTGCAGGCCTGGTCCCGTGAAGTGTGCGAAGTGGTATGCTGTCAGCTGGAGGTGTGGTGGGAGGTGGTACCGCTCAGATTCGTTCTGGACCCGCCAGTGCTGCGTCTACCACATTCTAGAAGGTCAGCATAGTGTCCTATACCTCTAGATAAGATATTATAAACTCATTATAGTATTGCGAGTCTCATAAGAAGGCTCAAGGTCACACAGTGGGCAATGGAGAGAGCAATGCTCGGTGTTTCCCTACGCGATAAAATCAGAAATGAGGAAATCCGTAGGAGAACCAAAGTAACCGATATCGCACGAACGATTGCTCTGCTGAAGTGGCAGTAGGCGGGACACGTAGCAAGAAGAACCGATGGCCGTTGGGGCGGAAAGGTTCTGGAATGGCGACCACGCACCGGACGACGCTCAGTGGGCAGGCCCCTACGAGGTGGACCGACGACCTCTTGAAGATCGCGGGAAGCCGATGGATGCGAGTCGCGCAGGACCGATCGGTGTGGAGATCCTTGGGGGAGGCCTATGCTCAGCAGTGGGCGTCGTACGGCTGACATGATGATGATAGTATTGTTACATGTCGGGATGGGGACAAAAATTATATGCCAGTTTACGCTTGACAGTTCTTTATTAAACACATAATACTACAGTCACTGTTCACTATTTTCATCATCAGCCTATTAATGTCCCCACTGCTGGGGCACAGGCCTTCCCTAAGGATGGAATAGGGAGATTGGGCCATGATCCCCCACGCGGGGACAGTGCGGATTGGCGGGTGCTAACGACTGCAGGTACAGTACTGCAGGACCAACGATTTAACGCGCCCGGAGGAACTCGAGATAGAAGATTTTTGATCACCCATCCAATGACCGACCACTGTGAAAGTTTATTAACTTAAACGATCGCAGCCGAACGCGCTAACCACCCGCGCCTTCGAGCTCCTCAACTATTCACTATACAAGTCTTTCAACAGTCGCACTTGAAAACTGCCGAAATCGCTGTTGAAACTCATCTGTTATCGCTTTGAAACTACTACGCCAATCGACGCATTCTAAAAAAAGCCAGTTCAATTGGGTGTTAACTAGCACACGTACTATCGCGGAATTTTGCGCTCTGTCACTTGGCGAACAAAATGCTTTGAATGATTTCTACAGTAGTTTTTAATACGCCTCGCCTTCGCGCCGCCTCGGACGCGCCAATCCGGGCCGCCGCACAAAAGTAAGACAGAGAGCATTTCATTGAATGAATAATGAATTGAATTGCATTTGTTTTAGTTGCAATTTGTCATCCGCATCGTGATCGCGACAGCGCTATACTAAAAAGAAAGACAGCGATCATTACATGTCTATGAATGAATTTTTACTACGTCGCTACCGCAAGCGATTATGGCATTATGGGTGACAGAGCGGGTCTTTCCACGAGTGTACCTACTTAACGTATGTAACGCGCATGAGTACCTAACAAGTCCAGATGTCGTGCACTTTCACCCTTACGCCGCATCGCATAAGGCTCATAATAAAACCGAACCGCACCATTCGGCCTCAAGCTGCGCCGCTCTGGTTTAATCTGTTTCCAGTACGTTGCAGTTTCAGTTCTAGAGCGGTTCTGGCAGTATTACAGCATGATGAAATCGATGGCGTGGGTGACCAAACACTTAATATCTAGAGCTCTCCGTGCTTCAGAAGGCATGTTACGCCGTCGGGGCCTTGACAGATCCGGTGCCTAATAAATATAAAGGAAAGGCATCAGGGGGCGCGCAGGCGAAAGGGCCCGCCCCCCTAATAACAACACAGGCGCCCCGAGTGGAGCCGGTGACGTAGGCTTGTTGAAAATATATCGATGTATCGATATATCGATATTTTTTGTTCGATATATCGATATTTTTTGCCGATATATTTTGATTCGATATATCGATCAAAAACGTTATTTTTTTAATTATTAGCGGCATATCACGATCTAACTAAATTCGTATCTGGAAAAATCGTAACTGGATCTCAGATTAATGATATACAACATATCTATGATCTGTGCGGTATTTAGTATTGTCTATGTCATCATTCGAAAATAGGGTCTATTTTTAGGGAGATAATTTTCGTTCCATTATTATTCCGCGTGTCATATTTCGTGAGCGATATTTTTGAGAAAATTGGTCCGATATATCGATATATCGATGTTTTTTTCGCGATATATCGAAGCCGATATTGATATTTTTTTAAATATCGATGTATCGATATATCGATGTATTTTACCACTTTCGACATCCCTACGGTGACGTCGGACTGGAGCCAGAACTCCATTAATATCCATGACAATGTTAGGATTTATCTTCAGATCAACTAAAGATTTTAAAATAGCAAAATCATTAAAAAAATTATATTGCTCTTTGGTAAGAAGTCACCTGGAATACGCAACCCAGGTCTGGAATCCTCACAATGATTGTTATATTAATCAATTAGAAAAGATCTAAAAAAAGTTGCTGAAGTTTTTAAACTTCAAATTTGGGATTAAGTCCAGGTCCAAATTATATTGTTAACTACCAACGACACCATCTTCTTCCATTAAGTAAGCGTAGAGAAGCTGCGGACCTAACATTTTATTACAACTTAATTCTCGGCAAGATAGACAGCAATGAGCTGCTATTATTTGTTTAATATCTAGGTACCATTCCGTACAGTTGCCAGACGCAATTATCTGCGATTCCATACTGATTTATGTTCGACAAATTGTAGACAGAATTCCTACTTTAATAGAGTAAAACAAAATTTCAATAATAATTATTCAAGTGATGTGGACGTATTCCTGGCGAAACAAAATTATATCAAAAAGATTGTGAATAGTAATTTTTTTAATTATAACAATATAACCTAATTTAAATTACTTTATATTTCTATCACCATTTTCTCTGTGGGTATGGCTTTATGGCTTTACGCTCAATTTTTTACTTCTGTGTTTTTATTTTTATATAGTTTTAAATTAATCTACGGCCTCGATTGGACTAAGCATATTTTATTTGATTTGTATTTGTGAAAACTGTATTAGGCATATCAATGTTACATCATCTCGTTTTATCCTTAGTTTTAACATGCTGTTTGTTTTCCATGAATAAATAAATAAATAAAAAAATGGGTGCGTGAGAAGTTATCCTTCTTTGGCATCGTTTAAAATTAGTTTTTAATTGCATGCAAATAATTAATTACAATAAATTAATAAAAAGTCTGGAAAAGGACACAGTCAATAAAGTTCAGTTTTAATTTGAAAAAATAAATAAATAATCAAAATATTCAATTAAAATCGCTACTGAATATAATTTATTAGAACATATGTGATTTGCACTTGTATGAAACTCAAACACGTATTCCGAATATACTAACTAGAAACATGTGGATAAATATTATAAATATGAATACCTATAACTGTTACTTTATTACAAAAAATAAAGATGTGGTTTTTGGTTCTACTACACCAATGGTCAAGAGATGGCGCTGTAGTCTCCTGAATCGCGCTTTGGTTCCGTTGTTCCAGATTAATAAATACTTTTGATATTACAAATATGAATACCTATAACTGTTACTTTATTACAAAAAATAAAGATGTGGTTTTGGTTCTACTACACCAATGGTCAAGAGATGGCGCTGTAGTCTCCTGAATCGCGCTTTGGTTCCGTTGTTCCAGATTAATAAATACTTTTGATAGGCCTTCACCCACTAAATAGAGATTCTATTTCTATTTTGTTGGTAGATTTTCTTAATGTGCGGTAAACACAAAAGCGACCAACTTCATGCTGTTAAAATTTTGTGTTACAGTGATGCGCGCGCATCTTAAAATTTCACTCTCATCATTTTTTCATAACGCGCCTAAAGAAGTATAACTTCAATAAATAAATAAATATTGAGAGAGAGTTCGCCGGGTTCCAGTCCAACCTCATGCCTTCGTCTTCCCTGACATTGGAAGGAGACCCCCTCTTGCACACGAGCACCGTCAAGCGGAGGCGGTTCAGCCCGTGCCGCCAAATGCGCTTGGAGGATCCCTCGCAAGGAGAAAGAATAACAGAATGGGGAAGAAGAAGAACTCACTAATCCTAATTGGGCGCCACGGCGGCGCGTGGTGGGTCATGCATGGCCCAGTCCATCCATAGGGACAGCCTGTGCCCCAGCAGTGGGGACATTAACAGGCTGATAAATAATGGTATCGCATAAAGAACGTAACCGCCACACCCAAACAGAAAGTCGGCTAAGACAGAAATAACTTTAATTCTGACATGCAAAATTGCACACGACACATTACATTGATTATGTAAATTATACTGTAAGCAACGTAATTTTTGAAGAGAAACTTCCTTCGGCACGCTTGACTTGGGGGGGTAAGCTGGCGAATGCGTTACGCGTTACGAAAAGTGTGTTCGGGCCAGGCGAACGGGAGTTGAGTGGGGTATATAAGCAAGGGAAAGCAGTGCCCGCTCACATTTTCTTTCTCTTTTTCTCTTACAGCTAGTAAATGAAATGCACATATGTATGTATATATATCTATCTTTATATATATAATTCTTCTGTGAGTGTGTATGTCACTGAACTTCTCTTAAACGACTGGACCGATTTTGATGAAATTTTTTGTGTGATCAAGGGGATCTGAGAATGGTTTAGATTCACAATTTTGTCCGCTGGACAACCCCTATTTTTTAGGGCGGTACGAAATTCGCTGGGTCAGCTAGTATATATATATATTTATACAGGGCGTCCCACGGAGGGAAAGTATATTAAATATTGAAGATAGGATATTTTACTGAAAGAACACATCATTTTATTTTTAATAATAACCAGAACTGCATTAACAGATTTTTTAAAAGTCGCCTGCTACAACGGGGAATCAAACTCGTGAAATTTTAAAAAAAAACAACATATTTTATAATAACTATCGAAAGGGTTAATCATAAGGATTATTTTGTGCTAAATAACATAGTATTTTAAATGAAAGAAAAGTAATTAAATTTGAGGTAGCCGTGGGACACCCTGTATATACATACAGATGTAGCTAAAGTTTCACTTCAGTCGTGTAGTCAAAAGCACACTCATTTTTCTTTTTGAAACATTGGTAGAAGAAAATTTTGTGATAAAACTTTTTAGATCGTCGCCTCTAATAGCCGTCAAGGTCTATTATCTGTTATGAGAGCTCAGACTGAGCGTCTTGTCATAATAATATGAAAGCAGCCAGCACGCTTTAATAACGCACACACATTAATCAACACGAACAATGGCGATGTTCTTAATCTCCCGTTTATTTTAATCTTCGTTGAAAAATACTCTCTGTGCAGTAGCGGGCACGTACGTAAGATATCACTTCATCTGTATTTACCTTAGATTAAAACAAAACCCTTAAGCAGCTCAATGGAGCAGGTAGTTAGCGCGTTCGGCTGCGATCGTTGAAGTTAAGCAACTTTCGCAGTGGTCGGTCATTGGATGGGTGACCAAAAATCTTCTATCTCGAGTTCCTCCGTGCTTCGGAAGGCACGTTAAGCCGTTGGTCCCGGCTGTACCTGCAGTCCGCACTGGGCCCGCGAGGTGGGTCATGGCCCAATCTCCCTATTCCATCCATAGGGAAAGCCTGTGCCCCAGCAGTGGGGACATTAATAGGCTGATGATGATGATGATGCATTTATTTTATTTATTAAATACCGGTAGCCAACGTACATAATGTCGATAACGAACCTTATCCTACCAGATAAAAAAAACTATAAAAAACCTAAAACCCAGCGCCACGTGTACTAAAAATGAGTTGAAGGTAAAATTTTCCAATAATTTTCTGCGCAACTTTCTTAATTCCTTTCTCCGTACGACCCTTCCACTAAGTATTAAAAAACTTGAAAAAGGATGGATGAAATTGGTAAAACTAGTGTTGAGTAGGACTTACAAGAGGCGGTACATTTGTCCCGGACATGACGTCAAAATTTTAAAATGTACTACTTCACATTAAATGTCGCGATAGTCGCGTCTCGTTACTCACTCACTCTTCGTAAGTCTGAGAGAGAGCGAGGCATGACATTTCATTTAAGTCCTCTACGCACTGTCCATCTGTATCTCTATCTGTTACGTGTATAGCGCTGTCCTGCATGCTGGATCCAGCAAGATTGATTCTAGGAGCTACTCGTGCACACAAACGTAATGTCTTGCTTCTGTACGCCTCAATGTCATATTTGTACTCGTCACTTCAAATGTGTTGCCGAGCTTCAGTACGCCTCGCCTCATTTGAAGTGGGACATTGTACTGGCTCAGTACAAAAAAGAGGCTACTCTTACAAACTCTTTTTCAAGTCGTGTCCTACCCAACACTAGGTAAAACCGTTCTCAAGTTTTGGCGTGAGCAAGGTGAATAGCGATTCCACCAAAAATAATACACGTAAATATAAGCATATTACTCTTTGGAGTCAATACGGTCTACATTCAAGTTATCATCATCATCAGCATCAGCCTATTAATGTCCCCACTGCTGGGGCACAGGCCTTCTCTATGGATGGAAATAAGGAGATTGGGCCATGACCCACCACTAGGGATGTGCGATCCGGGTCGTCGATTCGATTTTTCGGATCGTAATGGATCGTAATGCTACAATCCGATCCGCGGATCGGATCGCATGCCGTCGATCCGATCTTCAAGAAATCGGATCGGATTGGATACAATAAATAAGACAAATTATTTTAGATGTTTATTTGGTAAACCTATCAATAATCGTCACACCTAATCAGGTACAACTTTTGTTTGTAATAATAGAATGTATAAGATTAGCGGATCCACCTGCAAAGAATGCCGCCAAGTTAAAATGTAAACAGAGATAAAGTTCGTAACAGAAACCTTAGTAAGTACCTACCCAATTTATCGTAAACAAACCGCGTTTTAATTCATACGATCCAAGCGATCCGAAAATCGTATGGCCTCGATCCGATCCGAAAATTACCGGATCGTATGCCTTCCGATCCGATCTTTCAAATGATCGGATCGGATCGGCGCATCCCTACCCACCACTCGGGCTCATTGTGGATTGGCGGGTGCTAACGACTGCAGATGCAGCCGGGATCAAAGAATTAACGTGCCTTCCGAAGCAGCCTATTATCAAGCCTCCGATAATCGTCCAGCCGTCTGTCAGCAGTGCATATAATAAACTCAAACTCATTTATTCAGTCTAGGTTGTTACAAGCTCTTGTGAAAGTCAAACGCCACGCCGTCGGTTCGTAAATCTACAGCGGGAGACCTTGTACTGAGAAGAACCGGCAAGAAACTCAGCAAGGGCTATTTTTTTCTCCCTGTTTTGTTTCATACAGTGTCGTCAATTGAAAGATGACATCAAAAATTTAAAACTTGTGTTGATGTCAACTTTCATCACATTAATATTATTAATTAACAAAAGTTAAGTATAGCTAGGTACTATTTTTAAATTTAAAAGTGGCGATTGAACAATTTTCAACCAAAGCAGCAAAGTAAAACGTCAGTCTATTATATTAAGCCCAAGGTGACTTATCATTTATGAAATATTTAACAGTATAGTAACCTTTCTTAAGGAGACATGTAAAAATAATACTAAGAAATACTCTGTTCTATACCTATTTATTGACTTCCCAATTATTTATTCCACGTAACTTATTACCTATGTTTATTCGTTTGCACAACTGATATCCCAAAATAATAAATAACAGGATATTGGAATACATGAACATGAATACTTCTTTTTGTTCGTGATGGTATTCCAAGAAATTATAATATAGTTATAAGTAAATGTTTATCTCGATTCTTCCTTAGAAACGGATAAATACCACTTTAATATTGCTCGTCCTGGAATATCATTGTTTGGTATTATGTTGATTATCTGTGAATAAAAAAAATGGGTGCGTGTACTTATGTAGGCGCGTGAGAAGTTATCCTTCTTTGGCATCGTTTAAAATTAGTTTTTAATTGAATGCAAATAATTAATTACAATAAATTAATAAAAAGTCTGGAAAAGGACACAGTCAATAAAGTTCAGTTTTAATTTGAAAAAATAAATAAATAATCAAAATATTCAATTAAAATCGCTACTGAATATAATTTATTAGAACATATGTATGATTAGCACTTGTATGAAACTCAAACACGTATTCCGAATATACAAACTAGAAACATGTGGATAAATATTATAAATATGAATACCTATAACTGTTACTTTATTACAAAAAATAAAGATGTGGTTTTTGGTTCTACTACACCAATGGTCAAGAGATGGCGCTGTAGTCTCCTGAATCGCGCTTTGGTTCCGTTGTTCCAGATTAATAAATACTTTTGATATTATAAATATGAAAACCTATAACTGTTACTTTATTACAAAAAATAAAGATGTGGTTTTTGGTTCTCCTACACCAATGGTCAAGAGATGGCGCTGTAGTCTCCTGAATCGCGCTTTGGTTCCGTTGTTCCAGATTAATAAATACTTTTGATAGGCCTTCACAATGCAGTCGTTAGCACCCACTAAATAGGTAGATTTTCTTAATGTGCGGTAAACACAAAAGTAACGCATGAAGTTGGACCAACTTCACTAACAACATTTACAAATCATTATGTTGTTACAACGTCAATACAATTATGATTTATTTAATATAGAAAACCTGTTGGAATGATTGGAACAGTTCGAACCCAAGCATTTTTGTCTGCAATATAATCAGATTCGAGAGGAGCTCGATGGCGCAGGTGGCTAGCGCGTTCGGCTGCGATCGTTGAAGTTAAGCAACTTTCGCAGTGGTCGGTCATTGGATGGGTGACCAAAAATTTACTATCTCGAGCTCCTCCGTGCTTCGGAAACCCACCAATCCGCACTGGGACCGCGTGGTGGGTCATGGCCCAATCTCCCTATTCCATCCATAGGGAAGGCCTGTGCAGTGGGGACATTAATAGGCTGATGATGATGATGATGATAATCAGACACTTTGTAATAAGCTTTTTTAATAAGTGTTTTTTTTTATACTATCTTTAAATTTATTTATGGGACTATATTGGATAGGCTAGTCTAATTGAAATTACATGCTTACTCCCCTTTGCGGGTAGGACGAGACTCTAGAATTTTCGATCCGTAGGCGATCTCAATCCTCCTTGATCTATCTCCTCTTTTGCACCAGGGTGAAGAACGTAGACGTGACGCTTCGAGCGACGCAGCTGTTCGGTTGTGACGGAATCCACGCCAGCTGGTCCTTGCCTGATGGAATGACGCTGCCACACGAACCAGTATACCTTGCTCCTGCGCACTCTCATACCTCCAAGCTGAGGATACCCCTGATGAGCCTACCTAACGAGTACCCAGCTAATGATGTGTTGACGTGAGCAAAGATTTATTTACTGTCTTAGGGTGCGGCCAGAGTGCACTCAGATTCAGATTCAGATTTCGAAAACAAGCGCGAGAAATAAACAGTGTAGTCTAAGCAGGTTGCCTGCTTTTTCTCGCGCTTTGTTTTCTGAGTCTGAATCTGAATCTGAATCAGGAGTGCACTCTGGCCGTACCCTTCGACTACACTGTTTATTTCTCGTGCTTGTTTTCGAAATCTGAATCTGAATCTGAGTGCACTCTGGCCGCACCCTTAGATTAAAATAAAAAAAGGAACGACGGCACTCGCGGCTCTAAAGTGATCCGCTTAAATTGTGGGGCATGACCACTGTAGGGTGTTCCCTACACTTAATATGATATTGATATTAATAAATGATAATTAAATGATATTAAAATGATACGATATTGATTTATGATAAGGGTTAAATGATACACGCGATGCTGATGAATGCGTCATTCGCACTGATTTTATTTCTATACTAGCTGACCCAGCGAACTTCGTACCGCCCTAAAAAAATAGGGGTTGTCCAGCGGACAAAATTGTGAATCTAAACCATTCTCAGATCCCCTTGAACACACACAAAAAATTTCATCAAAATCGGTCCAGTCGTTTAAGAGAAGTTCAGTGACATACACACTCACAGAAGAATTATATATATAAAGATTTACGAGTAAGTATACAAATCATAAAAATATATTGCCATATTTGCGTTAAAATATGTTAACTTAGCTAGTACGATGACTATACAATACGATGGTAACAACAGTAAATTTGAAAAAAATAAAAACATTAATACTATGATAAATTTTATACCTACAATAAATTGTATAAAATGAAAAAAAAATGTTTTTTAGGTTTCCACGCACATCACTCATTGAATAAAACTAGTTTTTACGGGTTAATGCACGAAACTTTATTTATTTATTGACGTTTCGTAGTCTTTACAGGCTACGTCGTCAGAATCCCAGATTCTTTCGTGCCGTATTAACCCGTAAAAACTAGTTTTATTTAAATGTAAAATGTTTTAAAATAATTAAGCTACAATAAATATGATAAAGTGTACATAAATTTAAATAGCTTCAAATTAAAATGTAAAAATTATTCTTGCTTAAGTGTAGAGCGTGCCCGACTTAATGCGAATCGGGCAATTACCTGACTTTCGTATTGCCAAATTAGAAGCGTGTATGACGTATTTATAACTATAAAACATGATTGCAAAGAACCAACCTTAATGTTGGAGTTAGCATCTCATCACTAGTAGACTGTAGGGATATCCTTATACCATGATGACATCTTCTTCTCAGTTTCACCATGCTTGACCACCAGGTTGAACGCATCGAATAATGAATGGAAGGCTCAGAGCACCATAAGCAGGTGTTGTGCAAACAACGAATAGCAAGCTTAATGTACCATAAGCAATTGGTGTGCCTTACGTCACCCAGGGTTGGAGCCAGCATCTCATCAGTAGACTGACTCGACGATCTCCATGGACGAGTGGTTTGTACACCGGGTTTCATGGTGACGCCGACTCGAGAGGTCCCGGGTTCGAATCCCGGTGGGGGCAGATGTTTGTGTCATGAATACGAGCATTTGTACTCCAGTCATGGATGTTGAATATGTATTTCTATATAAAATATACTTATATAATATATGTATATGTATTCTATCCGTTACCCTAGTATCCCATAGCACAAGCCTTATAATGCTTACTTTGGAGCTAGGCTAATTGGTGTCAGTGTTGGAAATATTTATTTATATTTATTTACTGTAGGGATCGACACTCGAGGAGCTCAATGGCGCAAGTGGTTAGTGCGTTCGGCTACGATCGTTGAACTTAAGCAACTTTCGCAGTGATCGGTCATTGGATGGGTGACCAAAAATTTACTATCTCGAGCTACTCCGTGCTTCGGAAAGCACGTTAAGCTGTTGGTCCCGGCTGCATCTGCAGTCGTTAGCACCCGCACTGGGCCCGCGTGGTGGGTCATGGCCCAATCTCCCTATTCCATCCATAGGGAAGGCCTGTGCCCCAGCAGTGGGGACATTAATAGGCTGATGATGATGATGATGACTGTAGGGATATACCTTATACCTACCATAATGACATCTTCTTCTCAGTTTCACCGTGCTTGATCACCAGGTTGAACGCATCGAATAATGAATGGAAGGCTCAGAGCACCATAAGCAGGTGGTATGCCACCCGCCACCCAGGGTTGGAGCCAGCACGTGCGTGGCTCGGCATAGTACCACCCGGTTCACATATGACGACAACTTTGCAGATACACAACGATACACATCAGCAAGTAAGTCTACAGTACGAATGATTAATAGGCGCAGAGCCCTACATCCCACGTTAATAACTGAAATGGAAGTCAACTTCATTTATGTACTTGAACCACAGCCAGAACCCTGCTTTTCAAATCAGTGAAGTTGAAAATCCATAACAGCTTTTTACAAACAAGATCAACCAAACAACGTCAACCTTACCTGATTGCAATCTTCTGTGAGATTTGCTACTACCTTTGTTAAAATTGTGCAGACTTTTTTTTATTAACGAGGCGCACCCCACCCCGCCTGATGTTTAATGTAAGTGGAGTTCGGACAGATAATGCGGTAGAAGGTATGGCGCTTCAGCGATCCTCGTCGCCCGAACCCATCATCTACCCCGCCGAGTCCTGGAACCCTACTGACTAGTGAAAACACAGTAGAGTTGTTGGAGAAGTTTAACTGCTTTCAGGCACCTTTCTTAACTTTAGACTCTTTTTTTTGTTTCATCCCAGGCGAGGGAGCGGGTGAGAAATTCTCATGGGTACTCTACAGCCGGCTGCAAGATTATGTCAGACTCGTACTGACTAAAAAACACCCGTAGAGGCTCGAGAAGGACGGTACGGCCTCCTAGTGAGGCACGCCCGTATCGGACACAAGAGCTGCAGAGGGCCGCTCGTGCGTAGGGAGGGCAGGCAATGCCGGAAGGGCCTTGCTGTAAGGGGCCTAACGGGGTGCGATCGCCGTTTATGCTAACTAACGGGGAAGCTTGTTTGAGAGCTGACGCGTGTGTGGATACTGACCCGCGCCGATCAACGCTAAGTTTGATCGACGCGTTAGAGACTCGTGAGGCCCGCGCAGGTAGAGAATCGGTTCCGAAACCGGCGCGAGTCTCACTTGCCACCAGACCAACACCCTCACAGGTCAACCTAAGCGAAGCCTAATCGGTGGGGTTAAACTGCAACGTTGTTGATAATTCAACTCTGTTAGCGTTTGCCCCACCGAAATCTCGCCGCACGGGCGGTGAGAGAAGCGAATTGATAGTATAGCCTATGCTAAGTCTAAGTTGAAAAAGCGGTGTCGCAGTTGCCGTAGCCGCGTAGAGGGCGCTTTTGAGAGTTGTTAGCCGCCCACCGGCGGCTAACGGGGTGGACTCTTGGAGGGCGTCATTAATAATTGAGCCGGCAATTTTAACGACGTCGCCAGGAGAGGAGTGATTGGGGTGGAATCTGGGATTGGGATGAGTGACGTTTTAAGGAGTGGCTTGGGAGTTAGACTCTGAAATCTTTGCGTTTTATATGTTGATAGATCTGCTGGTGGGGCGAGGTGTTTCGATGGTGGGGAGAGAACCCGCCGCACGCGCGCTGCGATGGAAGTGCCGACGCCGGCCGACACTGCGCGGTGTGCCGCCAGCCGACCTGCACGTGCGCCCTGCTCCAACCTGCACGCGGGGCGCTGGATCACGCCCAGAGGGATCGCCTGCTGTATCACGTCAGAGCGCCTGATGTATGTCACAACTTTTTTTATTAAGCCACGTATCCACAAGAGGCAGCCTCGGATCGAGCGGCTGCCTCACTCCGAGGCTGCGCAAGTGGAGACGCTGCCTCAACCTGAGGCACGCCGCGACGCGATGCAAATTCGTCGCCGCGAGCCGAGCCATATTTTGTCGGTTTCTGTGCCGTGCTCAAAGGCGCCTCAGTCCGAGCCGTGTGTTTAATGGAGACGTTTTGGCTTTTTACTGCGCAGTGCGCCGCCGGCGGATCAAGCTGAGGCGACACGCCTCGAGCTGATCCGTAGCCGTTGCCTCGGAGCGAGCAGCCTCAAACTGAGGCTATTTGCTTCAAGTCGAGGCCGCTCGACGCGAGGCTGCCTCTAGTGGATACGCAGCTTTTTAGGGGGCATTCGAGCTGTGACGGCTCACCTGTTAGCAAATGATCACCCATAGGCACCTGCTACACCAGGAGTATCACAAAAACGATGCTGGCCGTTAATAACGGAGCACGCCCTTTTCTTTAAGGTTTTCGGGTCGCATTGGTCCGGTGACACTGCTGGTGACAATGAATTTCATTTTTCAGAAATCGACAATATCAAAAGATTGTGGATAGTACCGTGCTTCGGAAGGCACGTTAAGCCGTTGGTCCCGGCTGCATCTGCAGTCGTTAGCACCCACAAATCCGCACTGGGCCCGCGTGGTGGCTCATGGCCCAATCTCCCTACTTCATCCATAGGGAAGGCCTGTGCCAAAGCAGTGGGGACATTAATAGGCTGATGATGATGATGTGGATAGTACTGGGTAGATAAAAAATGAGATTGACATCCAGCATCGAGAACGTTGTCACAAACATATGAAATAGCTTTGTTCTCCTTTCTGGCATATCTTTGGCATGCGTAATATTTACTTGCGCTATCTAATTTTGTCATTGTCTATGATCCCACCCCATCTGATGTTAAGTGACTTGATCTTTACCATGCCGGACTGCAGATTGCTTCCTCACGCCTCTTAAAAGGATCCCGGATTGAAGGGGGGAACGGAAAACGTGGGCAGGGAAAGCATTCCATTTGCGGATATTGCGCCCCAAAAAAAAGCGAGCCAAAACTCTTTGTCCAAATTGATGGCTACAGTAAATCGCAGTAACTGTTATCTATCAAATAAAATAATCGACTAAACAAAGGCTAATTGATTTCTGGAAAAAATACTTACAGGATTTTTATCAAGCTTTCCTATGGCCTTCCTAGACCCTTCATCATCATCATCAGCCTATTAATGTCCCCACTGCTGGGGCACAGGCCTTCCCTATGGATGGAATAGGGAGATTGGGCCATGACCCACCACGCGGGCCCAGTGCGGATTGGTGAGTGCTAACAACTGCAGATGCAGCCGGGACCAACGGCTTAACGTACCTTCCGAAGCACGGAGGAGCTCGAGATAGTAAATTTTTGGTCATCCACTCAATGACTGACCACTGCGAAAGTTGCTTAACTTCAACGACCGCAGCCGAACGGGCTAACCACTTGGGCCATCGAGCTTCTCCTAGACCCTTACACAAGCATAAAACCATAGCTTTTAAAAGCAAAATGGAAACCATATGATTTTTGAAAACAGTTTTTAAATAGAAAAACAATGGTCCAATTGTCGATAAAAAATTCGAATAAGCGGGACACTTGACCGTTTCATTTAGAGGTAGGCCATTCGTATAAAAGCACGCTCCATTAATTAAAGTGGACCTTATATAATGCACTGACAATCGTTCTCTGAGCACACGTAATCCGCTTAGGACCGCTTCAAATAAATAATAACCTTGTTTCGGTTGTTAGGGAGTACTTTAGTAGATAACAATCTTATTGAGGCTTTTACTGATGCAAAATTTATAAGGGTTTTTTGGGTATCGTACAAGGGGTGACTACAAGCCTTTGTGTCTAACTGATCGTCTGTTAGAGACCCGTATCTTGTGAACCGTAACACGTAAATAGTTTAAATCTAAAGAAAAGTTTACTAGAAAAAAAACCACACGGACCAGGCAGCGGACGGGACTCGAACCCGCACCCTTCGCAATCCGGGCGAATGAACTGACCATTATGCTACCACGGCCCTATTCGCTGCGTCGAAATTTTCTTAGCCTTAAGCTGCAAGGCAGCGCCATCTCTTCGCATTGTAGTTAACCCACAATGTCAAATGAATACTTTTTCAAGTATTAAACATTTGAAAGAAGAAATAGCAATTATAGTTATGTTTTTATTTATTTCTAAGCATTTAACTGCTAGATGTTTAAATCTAAAGAAAAGTTTACTAGAAAAAAATGGGTGCGTGTACTTATGTAGGCGCGTGAGAAGTTATCCTTCTTTGGCATCGTTTAAAATTAGTTTTTAATTGCATGCAAATAATTAATTACAATAAATTAATAATGTCATTTCATTTCATTTCATTTCATTTCATTTCATTTCATTTCATTTCATTTCATTTCATTTCATTTCATTTCATTTCATTTCATTTCATTTCATTTCATTTCATTTCATTTCATTTCATTTCATTTCATTTCATTTCATTTCATTTCATTTCATTTCATTTCATTTCATTTCATTTCATTTCATTTCATTTCATTTCATTTCATTTCATTTCATTTCATTTCATTTCATTTCATTTCATTTCATTTCATTTCATTTCATTTCATTTCATTTCATTTCATTTCATTTCATTTCATTTCATTTCATTTCATTTCATTTCATTTCATTTCATTTCATTTCATTTCATTTCATTTCATTTCATTTCATTTCATTTCATTTCATTTCATTTCATTTCATTTCATTTCATTTCATTTCATTTCATTTCATTTCATTTCATTTCATTTCATTTCATTTCATTTCATTTCATTTTCATTTTCATTTTCATTTTCATTTTCATTTTCATTTTCATTTTCATTTTCATTTTCATTTTCATTTTCATTTTCATTTTCATTTTCATTTTCATTTTCATTTTCATTTTCATTTTCATTTTCATTTTCATTTTCATTTTCATTTTCATTTTCATTTTCATTTTCATTTTCATTTTCATTTTCATTTTCATTTTCATTTTCATTTTCATTTTCATTTTCATTTTCATTTTCATTTTCATTTTCATTTTCATTTTCATTTTCATTTTCATTTTCATTTTCATTTTCATTTTCATTTTCATTTTCATTTTCATTTTCATTTTCATTTTCATTTTCATTTTCATTTTCATTTTCATTTTCATTTTCATTTTCATTTTCATTTTCATTTTCATTTTCATTTTCATTTCATTTTCATTTTCATTTTCATTTTCATTTTCATTTTCATTTTCATTTTCATTTTCATTTTCATTTTCATTTTCATTTTCATTTTCATTTTCATTTTCATTTTCATTTTCATTTTCATTTTCATTTTCATTTTCATTTTCATTTTCATTTTCATTTTCATTTTCATTTTCATTTTCATTTTCATTTTCATTTTCATTTTCATTTTCATTTTCATTTTCATTTTCATTTTCATTTTCATTTTCATTTTCATTTTCATTTTCATTTTCATTTTCATTTTCATTTTCATTTTCATTTTCATTTTCATTTTCATTTTCATTTTCATTTTCATTTTCATTTTCATTTTCATTTTCATTTTCATTTTCATTTTCATTTTCATTTTCATTTTCATTTTCATTTTCATTTTCATTTTCATTTTCATTTTCATTTTCATTTTCATTTTCATTTTCATTTTCATTTTCATTTTCATTTTCATTTTCATTTTCATTTTCATTTTCATTTTCATTTTCATTTTCATTTTCATTTTCATTTTCATTTTCATTTTCATTTTCATTTTCATTTTCATTTTCATTTTCATTTTCATTTTCATTTTCATTTTCATTTTCATTTTCATTTTCATTTTCATTTTCATTTTCATTTTCATTTTCATTTTCATTTTCATTTTCATTTTCATTTTCATTTCATTTCATTTCATTCCATTTCATTCCATTTCATTCCATTTCATTCCATTTCATTCCATTTCATTCCATTTCATTCCATTTCATTCCATTTCATTCCATTTCATTCCATTTCATTCCATTTCATTCCATTTCATTCCATTTCATTCCATTTCATTCCATTTCATTCCATTTCATTCCATTTCATTCCATTTCATTCCATTTCATTCCATTTCATTCCATTTCATTCCATTTCATTCCATTTCATTCCATTTCATTCCATTTCATTCCATTTCATTCCATTTCATTCCATTTCATTCCATTTCATTCCATTTCATTCCATTTCATTCCATTTCATTCCATTTCATTCCATTTCATTCCATTTCATTCCATTTCATTCCATTTCATTCCATTTCATTCCATTCCATTCCATTTCATTCCATTTCATTCCATTCCATTCCATTCCATTCCATTCCATTCCATTCCATTCCATTCCATTCCATTCCATTCCATTCCATTCCATTCCATTCCATTCCATTCCATTCCATTCCATTCCATTCCATTCCATTTCATTCCATTTCATTCCATTTCATTCCATTTCATTCCATTTCATTCCATTTCATTCCATTTCATTCCATTTCATTCCATTTCATTCCATTCCATTCCATTCCATTCCATTTCATTCCATTTCATTCCATTTCATTCCATTTCATTCCATTTCATTCCATTTCATTCCATTTCATTTCATTCCATTCCATTCCATTCCATTCCATTCCATTCCATTCCATTCCATTCCATTCCATTCCATTCCATTCCATTCCATTCCATTCCATTCCATTCCATTCCATTCCATTCCATTCCATTCCATTCCATTTCATTTCATTTCATTTCATTTCATTTCATTTCATTTCAATGTCCCGTTCAAATCTGCCCTGTTTGCTTTGTTCAAATCTGCCCCACGGTCACTTGGAAAATAAAATATTACAAATAACGCGCCCGCGGCTAACTTCATTATGTTAAAATTTTGTGTTACAGTGATGAAAATTTCACTCTCATAATTTTTTCATAACGCGGCTAAAGA